TAGTCGTTAGCAACGTTGAGGCCGGCAGGCATTTGCTATGATTACGCAAAATTGCTCCGGGGAAACGTAGCAGGTCTGCGTTTAACTGGACTCTCTTGCACAAGTGAGGATGTTCTCTCTCCTTAATCCAGATTGCACGAATTACAATATCTAGTGCGCATATGTTACTCTATGCGTAATAACGCAATGGACGTTATACTATGCATCTGATGTTTTTAACAATTTTTTTTAAACGTGCACGGAAAACTGAAAATTTTCAACCAGCAAGGTACAAGTCACTTTCGTAGATAAATACAATATTTACCCATCAGTTTTTCTGCACACATTTACTGCAGTAAATATCTGTTTTAAGACAAGTAATTTATAAAATGTATATAATAAAATGTATATAATAAATGTATATAAGTTTCTAGAATTTATTAATATTATAATATAAAAGTGTTTTGTGCTAAATGAATTTCTTAGAAACCAGATTACAAAAAAAAAGATATTAATAAAAAACAAAAAAAAACTACGTGAATGTGAAAAATGACAACAATAGTTACATACATATCTTGTTCTGTAATGTCTAATAAATATTCAGCAAAATTCTCTGAATTTCAACGAAATGACTTATTGTTAGTGCAAACTGTCAAAATTGTTATTCCGACACTCTCTTGTCAAAATTTGAAATAATGTAAATGTAGAACTTTGCATACATTATTTAAACATATAGATCAACGTCATTAGACGGAGAAAGTGCGCGACTGATGTCTAAAATATTCTTAAAAAAAGTAACAAGCAATGTGGGAATCTCTTTACCGCAATAGAATCTCTTCAAAAATGGTAACATGTTTTGTGGCGTAACATGTCTCAGATATGCTATGTTTCGCGCCGTATGACAAATACGTTCATTTACAAATCAGATACGACGATGTATAAGCGACGATGTATTTGGGAGCACAGGCTTGGTGGTATTAAAATCAAGCTAGTTCAAGAAAAAAATCATGAATACCTTCTTACAAAGGTAATTATCACCACGGCATGTGAAAAGCGGTGAAACGCTTCCGGTTTGTTTGTATCGTCAGCGCGACGTCGCAATAATAAGCAAGGACTTAATTTTTGTTACATGGCTCATGTACCAGATGTCATAATTTCTATTATATTATTATAAAACACATAGATATTTTTTAATTATATAAAAATTAAATAATACTAAAAAATAATAAAAAATAACTAAATAATAATAAAAAATAATTTTATTTATTATAGTTTATTTTGCTACACAGACGAGTGATCATTTATCTCTAACAACAACAAATTTGTCTATTTCAAAAATTTTTTCATCTTCTAAAGGAAAAAAACAAACAATTAAATAGCATTGTAACATTCAATTTTATATATATTCAATTATACGAGACAGCATTGATATATTTAACATGTAGAAACAGAATATCTTGCAATATTTTCCGCAGTTGTGTTTAACGACGTGAAATCGAATCAATTGGTCAGAGATTCTAGTTACGTCAACTTGTAGACGTTGCTAGGTGCGCGTTTACTTAACGATTGAGCAATTGCTTAACAGCGTAATAATGTTATCGTCCACGCAGTCTTCTACATTCTAGGCTAATCTCTAGCAACACGATTGCGTCTGTTTTCTCCAAGAGTCTTTGGCCGAAACTTTCGATAGTTGCGCGTCACCTTGATCTCCAATTAAGCAGATTCTTTTACTTTCAATTAAAAAGACGTTCCAGATTAACTATTACTTGGCAACTATCAATTTTCTAAAGACTTTAAAGTCGAGTTCTTTTTAGCAAAGATTATAATTTACAAGGTTCTATTTTTATTTCATAATTTTACATTTCTCTCCTTTCCCTTCTCTTCTACGCAAAACACGTGTCGCTGTTTTAAATCACTGGCGAACTATTCTGATTTAGAGTGCACCATCACTGCCTGCACCTGAGCGCAATCACAATTATGAGCTTCTTCGTTTTCACCTTATCAGATTCCTCACTTTCTTCGATGCAAAGCAGCAAGACCTTTGCAGAGGTCGCTCAAGTTTCACTGGCGCGTTTATCCCGACCGACGATCCCTCGACGTAATCGGACGATCAATTCGCTACTTCCTTCTTCCCGCGCTATATTAACTCTTTAAGCGTTGTTTGTGACCATTATACATTATAATTATTTAATGTAAATTATTACAATTTTAGATAAATGCTAGTATAATCTCTTGATATACATATATATACATATATATGTACGTAATTGTGTAAAGAAAATAAAGATTTTAAAGAAAAAAGCGTGATTATTTAATTATGTTGAGCTCTAAGTTGTGCTTTGATTTAAGTTTTGAAATTGTTTTTTTTTTATCTATAAATTATAAATAATATGACGAGGGAAATATTTATTAAAATATTTATTAAATATTTATTACGTTTACACAATAGGAAATAATATGCGCAATTATATGTGCGCACGTGAACTACGTGAAGTATTTACTCGACAATTATCACGAGTCATATTTATGTAAACATAGATTTGATTTACGATCACTGGATGATATCAATATTGTTTCGCAAATATATATATATTATTGTCTATAGTAATCTTCTTTGTTAGCTGAATGTATAATTTAGTAACAACGCTAAAGCGCACGACTTTATATGCTGGTAAAATAACTCAAAGCTACATATTATCAGACGTAACTTTATATTTAACAGAAAAAGATTTTATATTCTATTCGAATCTGAATTTCCCTGAGCTCATAACATTCGTGATTACACGTATTTACGTGCAGAAATTTTGTCTCACAAGTGCGCCGATAATCATTTATAAACTTGCTGATATCGATCTAATCATAGATAAGAGAACGTTGGACACGAGTGGATGAGGCTTAATATCTACATTTGAATGTTATTCTCTGAGTACATGTAGAATTAATCCTTTCACTGCTACCATCGGTTGTGCCTACCATATAGGTCCGACATCGTAAGCGTCGCTTCGCGTTGTCTTCCGTAACGTGATTCCAATTGCGTTGTATATCTCGCGCGAATATTTTATTATGGCTGTCAGAAATAAAATATGGAACTTGAGATTATTTTTGAACAAAGTCGCTTTTATTTTTTTGCAAAAACGGCTCATTACTTTTCCTCGTCCTTGAATTACTTGAATTATATCTGAGATTTAAAAAATAGACTTCCGTGTAAATTTCTAAAAATAAAAAATAAAAATTCCTCCTTGCAATTTATATAAAATTCCTCTAAGGTTGCAATATTGAGAAAATATCTGAGAAAGAGAGAGAAATTGAAGTTGAAAATAAACAGGACATTATTTCATTGATAGATATATTTATCGATTATCATATCATAGTTGTCATCATTAAACGTAAGACTCATTTGTTCTAATATCTTCAACATTGAAATTTGTGCAAATATAATCCGAATTTTGTTAGTAATTATAAAGTCAGAATCCCGTGTTTATTATATTTAATTCTACCTTACAAAATAACAAAAAGTGGCAAGAATCATTAATGATTTATAATAAACAACTAATATCAAAGGAAAGTCGGAGATAATAGAAGTTGCGTGGCAAAGTTACGGCGGAGTCTAGATTCACTTCCTGTATAATTTTATTCTTCGATAAATCGGCGAAGGTGATTTTTTGCCATTAAAGCGTATCTTTTCGTGAGACGGCCGAACACCGAATAAGAGAGACCAATAAGAGACTCATTACGCTCTACGTACATCTATCTTCGTGTGATTACGCAATCATAAGACGATGAGAAAGTGAATCGCTCTTCTTAGATTCGCACATTGCACGTCTGCCAACGCGTGCATTAGTTGCATGCATTAATTGCTGCTGCAAGACGATATCGAATAAGCTCTTGCTTCTATACGAAAACTGCAATTGTCTGTCAATGTCTTACTTCCGTTAATAAATTAAATATTCTTCAAGAAACCGAATGATTATCTTCAACTGCAATACACTAATAAAAGATTAATTATTTCTTTCTACATTACTATTGTTAGTAAAACGTCCGTTTATATATATATATATATATACTATATATTTCATAAAAGCAAGAATAGATAGAATTCTGTTATTTGCAAGTAATATTATCTGCTAAATATTTCTCTCGAAAATTCTGGTATCTAATTCGAGAATACTTTTACAAGCGCTCGCCTATTACAAACGAATAATGACCCAGGTCGCTCTCACGCGTCTGCCCCTCAGCTTACTTCCGCTAGTGAAAGGTGCATCGTAGTCGGGGGCTATGATAAAACACTTACGTACACCCTTGTGGCAAGCGTTGTCCGAGCCAAGTACACAGAGCTCTTTTAACATCTGGCAGCGATCGCGTGGAAAGACAGCTCGGCTCGATGTATTATTGATTAGCATTCTGTCAGGAATGAAGTATATGACATAACATAGTAGATTTTTCAATTTGCAATCATTGTGATGTTTGAAATGCAAATTTCAAAAATCAATGATAGAAAAGATTTAGGACAATTGGTAAAATATTTATAAAAATTATGTGATTCTTTATAAGCCAATTACGTCTTTCTTCGTGCTGTTTTAAATCTAGGCTAGATGTTTTATTAAAATTCTACATAGTAGTTTTAAGTATCAGTTTTCTATGTGTTCTACTCGTTAAGTAAACACTTTATTATGCAATTAATCACGTACCCGCGCTTTATGTGTCATAAATGCAAATCCAAACAAGTGATTTGAGTTTTAAAAAAAGAAAGAAAAAGTAGAGAAATATTCAAATTCAATGTCGAAAAAATGGATTTTCTATTGGTTCTTATAACAATTATATCTTTCTTTTATTTGTAACATGTTTTAAAATATATTTTTATCAGATGATTTGCTACAGTAAATATTTATTTAAAGAATTAGTTGATTTTGTGTTATTATGTAGTATATATAAAATTATTAAATTTGTTAGGTTCAAAGTTGCAAGTAAAATAATATTTTTTTGAGAGATAGAGAAAGAGAAAGAGAGAAAGAGAGAGGAGGGATTTTTTATTGATATAATTAATTAAAGTGTTATTATGTCACAAATTTTATACAAATAGATTATGATATTGCGGATATGTGTATTATTCGATTTTATACGATCAGCTGAGAAGTCAAAATTTGATCTTGATATCGAATTCGAGAAAATACATCAATTGCGCGCATTATATAAAGATGAGAATTGTTCGTTGAATCTTTTCATATCTCACAACCTTGGAGATTTGATATCGCTTCTTCGAAAGACGAATTTAGAACCAGCTGCACTTTCGCATATTCCAATTGTATTCGCAGAATTCATGTTTAAGAATACAATTGCTTGAATTTTACTGTATCAGAATTATCAGAATCTCAATATTTATTCAAATATAATTCGAAATAAATTTATGCAACAAACACGAGAAGCACACGTTTCTTTTGTATATTATATAGATTATATGGAGAAAAATACACATAGTTTCCATATATTACAGAAAAACTTTGTTTATTCTAAATTTTAATTTTGTACACTAACGGAAAAAGCACAATTTAAGTAAATAATAATGAAATCGGGAAGGCCTTAACAAATTCTTATCACGTACAGTTTTGTGAGTCTAATCAGCAGAACTTCTAAGTCATTGTATTGCGCCTGCCAGGTCGAGCGAATCGTGATGTGAACACTTTTACGTCACATCTGGCCTGAATCCAATCGATTTATATATTCAAAGAATATTTCGACATACATTTTGTTTGTACAACACATTGCGTGATTTATCAAATGTGACACTGTTACTGCGCGATTAAATGTAATACACAAAAAAAACTCTAGCAAAATGTATTATCTATATACAATCGCAACTAAATTTTAATATGTAAAAAGTACACACAAAGAAAAATTTTATTATTAAATTAAACTTGATAAATTTGTACTTAAAAATGATAAAATTTTCTAAAGTAAAGAATTAATACCTTATCAAGTTTAATTTAATTCACGTAATATGTAAGAAAATCAAGCCTCTTTTTGGCAGTCCATTGTATCAAACGGCATCACAGAAGGATCATAGGATCAACCTCTTCGATTTCATCCGTCATTCTCTTCCTTCGTTTACAATGGCCGATATTGGGCAACGGTTTGTTCTTGCACTTCTTCATCCATCCGTTCCACGCCTTGAATCCTTCTCGATCGAAAATGATCTTCGCGCACGCAATATCGTCTTGTATGTCGTCATTTATGAACGCCTCGCAGCGTTTGTTGCAAATACCACCTGTACGTCCTCGGGTACACCATTTGGCGCTGTTGATCTGCAGAATACCAAAGGAGTAGCTGGATGCTGTCTTTGGACCAGTGACCAATCTCGTGTTCATTCCACTTTCGCTTTGCATCAGGCAGACCCAGTTGCTAATGAAGGTTCTTTCGATTTTGGCTCGCTCCAGCTCTTTCACGGCTTCGCATTGCGCAAGTATTTTCCCCTCCAAAAAATGAATGATAGTAATCACTAGGATCGACAGAATCACCCACAATCTCTTCATTTTTTAATAAATACTTCGATCAGAACGTAGTGACTGCAAAATATGATATTACAAAAGATTTCTTCTTGAATTACTTAAATTACTATGTGATCGTTCTTGAACGTGAATTGATTTTTATGAATAGGGAATATAATGATACAGTAATTGCTATATATTATTGTTGCTGATGTCGTTGTTAATGATCATTAGTGAAACGATGTTTTACAATAGCTTATAGTAGCTTATACGTTCAGAGATTATCACTATAAAACATATTTTTGCAAAAAGATAAAAATATTTCTCGTATTCCTTGTTTTATTTGACAACAGCAACAACTTTAAGCATGCACATACATGTACTGAAGTGTTATGTTTGTCGCAATTGATTCGCAATTAACAGTATTACTGAATATACCTACTTGCAGAAATACACAGACCACTTGAAATGCTTTTAACTCTCTGCTGACTTGTACTGAATGAATACATCTCTCAGCTCGAAAATAGACGGCAAAAGTTGATGACCCCGTCGGTTTTTTCTCATAACGTGTAACGCACGTAACGAGACATTGACAACGATTACACTGACGACTCTGACGAGCCACGAGTAAATATCTGTCTCTTATAAATGCGTCGTCGTTAATGCCGCGTACACATTGTAACCAACCTTGAGCTTGAGCTGATACGCTCTATTATCTATTATTGCCATAATAAAATGCAAGACTGTGAGACAACTGTTTTTCTTCGCGGTTGCGATGCCGTTTAATTAGAAAAAACTATAAATTAGGATTATAATTTTGTTCCAGTTATATATATAACTTAAACAAAATAAGATCTAATTCTAATATATATATTCAATTCATATTTCATTGACATATATATTTAAAATATATATATATATATATTTTGAACACATATGTCGGTGTGATTAAACGTTTCAAAAACTATTTGAAAAACTTCTACAAATTATTAATTATCTTGATTGTAGTAAGTGTCCGCTGTGTCTTTCTTTTCCACGCGCGAATCATGTATTGTAATATACTTTATAACATTAATAACTTTTATACTTTATAATATTAATTATTCAATAAAATATCGATACATATGTATAACCATTTGTTCACATTGCACCACATAAAAAGAATCCTAAATAAATTTCGTTAATATCTCTCTTATCAAATAAATAGTATTAATATTAAATTGTGTCATTATTGTTTGTAAACGTTTCTAACTGCTTTTCTTCTGTTTCAGCTGTATAATCACTTACTTGGAAAGAAAAACTGATAAGGTATCACTCGTAACACAGATCGTATAAGATCGATTCTTTTTGACTTTAGATATTTTTTGTAAGTTTATAATATAGTAATTTAAAGGAATGATTTATAGATATTTTCAGTATATATATATATATATATATATATATATATATATTTATATATTTATATTTATACAAGGTGATCCAGAACAACTCTTTATCCTTGAAAATACATATTCTTAACTAAATTCTAGAACAACTTTTTATTTGACAAAATTTTGTCTGAAGCTTACTTTTTGAGTTATTAATAAAAATAGATGACTTACCACGAGTCGGATACAAGAGGTAGGCAGGAGCGACGCAACTCACCGTGATTGACGGTGAGTTATGTGATGCACGGATTAAGTGATACAAATTACAAACGAATAAATAAATAAGTGAGAGAAAAAGAAAAAAAAAACAGAGACAGAGACAGATATAGAAATAGTGTGTAGCGATCATCTGATCACGTCAGGCACTACATGTAATCGCCCGCGTCTGACGGCGCAACCCCTGCCTACCTCTTGTATCCGACTCGTGGTAAGTCACTTATTTTTATTAATAATTCAAAAAGTAAGCTTCAGACAAAATTTTGTCAAATAAAAAGTTGTTTTAGAATTTAGTCAAGAATATGTATTTTCAAGGATAAAGAGTTGTTCTGAATCACCCTGTATATATATATATATAATGTATATGTATATGTATATGTATGTGTATATATATAATCGACGTTATATTATTTAATAAGAATTTTTTATTCAATAAAACATAAGTATATAATACCGATTGCAGACAGAAATTTATATATAGATATAAAGATGCAAAGTTATTGTAATAATTTAGAAAAGTATCTATCTCACACACATCACACAGTCATAATATACATTTATATTCTTGTTATAATTGGCAGTACATAAAATTACGGAGAAAAAAAGAATTTTATAAAAGGCACGACAATATCACATTGATTATTTATAATATCTAAACTTATTTTTTTATACATTAGAGCAAGTTTATATATATATATACAATATATATTATGTTTATTACGGATACCTAAATACTAGTCACACAGAAAATTATCGATTACATATTACAACTTTTATTAATTTGTTGGATCCAATAAAAAAATTATTGGGCGGTGGATAATGATCTCATTATATGAACTACTAAAACCAAATATATGACCTTAACATTAAATTTAGAAATCTACTGATATATGCTTGTAGTGACTTTGGTGATCTCCATCAATTTCCATCAGATCTGTTTTCGAAAATTATTACGTCAATATGATATCCCACACAGACATCCATCCATCCAAACATCCATTAGACATCTATTAAATGTCGCATGGAGCTGTGGACGTCTAATAGACGTCTAATGGAGTTTTTCTTCTGTATGGGATGCTTATAAATCACAATAAAAACTTAAAAAATGTAGTGTTATTGGTATTAAAATTTTGATATATGTATATATACATATTTAATCATACAATATATGTCAGATTGCATTAATTTTTTATTTGTTGTCTCGTGTTGTTTGTTTCACGTATAATCACGCTTCATATTTACAAGACATAAATAGCAAGATGTATTGGCACCAAAGTTAGAGTGTTTCGATAGTCCATTCGTCAATATATATGTATATATTATGCATATATCATATTTCACAACTAACAAAGCCGATATCAACAGAGACGTGCGTAACAGAATAAAGCATTAATTTTTTATTCGCATCTCTTAATTTGTAATAAATTATATCGCGTTTTAGCAACTATATTTTCAACAGCCGATAATTTTCATCTTTAGCAAGATTGATCAACCAGCAGAATTGGTTATCTTTTGTCTCTTTTCTTTGGCGAAATGCAATATATCCGGATTTTCGTAGATTATATCAGCCAGGGTCTCGACGCTAGCGTATGTATCAGCCTTAGATCCCATGCACATGAAATATTGAAGGCTGGAAAGCTCCTTGCTGCACTCTATCTCGTGATACACATGCACCAGATGTCTATCTGCGGCTCGGAAGACGTCAAAACCGGACTTAACCGCTTTCTCAAAGAACTCCACGTCCTCCTTACCCCATCCTTGGATTGAGAGATCCAGACCACCAACAGTATGGTAGTCCTTCTTGTACAGAGAAACAATTCCAAAGCCGTATTGTCTCCAATGTCCGGAAATCTCATTTATGATAAATGGCTTGTCCTGTCTCTTGGTCTCGCTGTAGACAACTTTGGGATTGTACTGACTGAAGACAATCGGAAAATACATTCGCTGGCCTAATAGCGTGTTCAGACGAATTCTGTTCAATGCTGAATTTGTGAACACGATGTCTACGTCGATGAATAGCATCAGATCGTTGACCTGCAGTTTTGACACGCCCAAGTCCAATGCTCTGGCTCGGGAAAACTTTCCGGAAACCGGTAAAATGTCTAGACTGGCGCTACGATATTTGTACTTGAACTGCTTGATCAGATCTATCGTTTTGTTGAAGGTGTTTTTATTCTGATACAGCACGACGAGCAGAGACGTTTTCTCACCGTTACTCAAACAGATATCTTCGTAATTTTGAAGAAACCTTTGGAAAATTTCATAGCGACCTGACAAAGGCAAAATAAAGTTGATAGTCTTGCTTCGTACAAAATCTTCCTCTTGAGAATTGAAGTTGAGATTCAGGAAGCCACCGTGAAATAAACTGTGAATAGGTATATTATCTGATTTCTGAGAGTTAATCTCGACGCCGTTTACTGTCTCACGTATCTCTAATCCTATAAAAAGAAATATCTATTAATTTGATTAATAATCTGGAAATATTTTAATAATGTTTAACATTTGTAAAAAAAGAGAGAAAGAGAGTTTGAAAGTTTTATCACAAATTTGATTACATATCAATAAAAATATTAGAATTAAGAATTCTCAAATTTCTAAAACAAAAATTTACAATATAGTGTAGTTTCAATATTTTTAATTTAAATATTAAATAATATTACTAATAAGTTTAATCCTACTCTTATAAATCTTGATATTTATGTCCGACGCAATTTTTAATTGATTACAAAAACACAAAACATCAGTAAAAATTCATGGAGTTTTTAGTCAACTAAATTAAGAAAATAAAATAACATTAGTTTTGATGTTTAGCAAAATTTTCTTTTTTATAATATATTAAAAGATATCTCATTTTCAAAAATCATTCGGACAAGTTTAGAGCGTTTACAAAATTAAAAGTTAATACATACACAATAATAGTAAACAAAAATATATGAAAACGATATAAAATGAAAATACGATATGAAAAAGATAATATGTGTGTGTGTGTATGTATATATAGTCAATTCTCGATATTTGCGCGCCTTCCAATTTATCAAACTAACACATAAGTTTTTCTTCTACTGCGTTCCTTATTCTACAACACAACGAACTGCTCATGGTGTGTCGCTGATTCCGCTAAAAATTATTAGCATATTACAGTATACAAAAAAAATTATTTCCCTACAGTCCCATATCCGCGTAAATATCGAGAGTTAACTGTATCTATATGACATAAAGATATATCTATATAAATATACGGACCGGTAAAGTGTTGATGAAGATAAACGTGTCGCCTGACAGGAAGCGTTACTTTTCTGCCGCGATACTTCCGATAGACTAATAAAAGATCCAATATCGTATCAGCCCCATAAGAATTCACCCTTCTGTATCCGTAAAGAGCCGATCGTTCTTCAACAACGCGGCCGCGCTGCCTCGAGTAGGAATTTATAGAAGCCATGACCTCTCTGGTAATATCTTCCAGACCTTCTTTGATATCGCTGTGAATACGTCGCCTTGGATTAGAGTCTATCAAACTGTATTCTAGTTTTGAGAGAAAGTCCCACGAGATCACTTCGTCGCTTATAGCCGGTTTAAATGAACGCAGACTGGCAGGCACACCTGAACAAACATAAATTTTGTGTAAGAAATCAATAAATTTTTGAAACTGATTTTCTTAATTAGCGCTTATCAAAAACACGTTTCTAAAAAAAATGTCGCATAACATTTAAATATATAAAAAGTAAGAGACCAATTTAAACATTTCAATTTTTATAAAGGTAAAATGCAGTTTTGATTTGTTGCTTTCTACATCTGTATTACGTATACATTTTATATAATAAACGTGATTAAAAAAATCAATAATGTTATTTAAATTTAATTCGAAGCATGAAAAAAAGAATTAAAATATAAAAGTCAACTTTTTAAATATATATTTGATATTTTTACTTGCGATTCTAATATTATAACTCATAGATACGCATTATACATTATAGTGTTCACAGAATTGCTTCACAGACATGAAATGACAGAAAATTAATTTGAGGAAGTAAATAGATATAGTAACTTCCTTTGAGATCTCGATGTGCCTTGAACCGCGACCTCAACTACGATTTTATTGGTGTACTATGCTCACTGTTTTCAGTCGGTTATTCATATTTATTACATGTATATACAAGATATGTAAGTTAACGTGCTACTAAAGCAACCGCAAACTCTTTTGCGAGATATGCAGAAAATAGAAATGATTGGTATAATAACGTAGCAAGGTTCTTTCGATCGTTTACGTTTGATAAGTTGAATTAAAGCGTGTCGTATGCACAGTTCGTATGCACATCTCTGCGTACTAAATCGGCCATCATTCGCGTACAGTATAATCACGCTGAATAGATTTATCAATAAAAACTATCTAGGATAATACAATCGTCGTTAAGATCGTTAATCTAATAGTTTTATGGATATCTTGATTTAAGTATTAATATAATGTTAAGTTAAAATAAATACAGGTGGAATAATTTTGTTAAACGATGTAAAAACACTTAAAAATAATAATTAAAAAATTAAAGCGTAAATAAAAATGTGCGAGATAAAAAATATAGAGAAAATTAATTTATAAAAATAATTTATAAAGATATGAATAATTTATTTTTAAAAATGTACAAAAAAGAACTCATTAACGACAATAAGGTCTTTGCTTTGAGATCTTCGTTAGAGATCAAGAATTTGTAACTGTGCGAAGAGATAATGTTTATATCAGTTCAATCTGAAAATTTTTATGTACGTAATTCTTGTGCGGTCATTTTGTGGCGAAGCAAGAAACACTCAGTGAAATGTAATACGAGAAGACGCAACGTAGTAACGATGATAAATATAAAATCATGCATTGCGATTCTTGTCTCTCCGCAAGATATACTGCGTATCCGGTTTCAAATGGATTTGTAATCCCTCTGAAATATGATTTGACATGAAATACCAGTGAAAAATTCTTGGTTGGAGACTCGCGTTAAAACAATAACTCATGTAGACATGTGCATAGTAAGTGCGAAAGCGTTATATGTATAATGAAATGTTGATATGCAAAAAGTTTTATAAAAAAAAAATGAAGGTTATTATCGTTTTAAATATATTTTATGTTTCGAAAGTTTGCAGAAACGCGTAAGTAGAGACAAAATTGATGATAATTTATAAATTCAAGTATGTAACAGCATGTGACCGTCAGATAGATTTTGTTTTATTCACAACTAGAAAATAAAAAGAGAAAAAGAGAGAATCCATACAGACATAATGTCTATTAGACTTCTAATGAACATACATGCAATTCAATGTGACGTCTAATAAACATCTAAGATTTATATAGAATATATAAGTCTCATACATGAGATTAATTATAAATCAACATACAAAAATTTATATAGAATCTGATATTTGATGCTTTTGCGGTGTGTTGTATAAACATTCGAAAATGTTTTCCGAGTTTTTTAAACGTCGGTATAAAAATGACACTAACGCGGTTCAAACCCGAAAAACATCTTCGAATTTATATAGAATTTTGTTTCATGTAAAGAATCATAAAAAAATTTGTAAAAGACAAAACTAGTGCAAAGACTAACCTTTTTTGTCAAGATAAATATAAACTATCTGAGAAAATTTCTTAAACATACAATTACAGTTGCAGAATAATGTAATCCTAATAATAGCAAAATGAAATATATAAAGGGCAAAAGCATAGTTGTTTTATACTCGTATCTTGTGAATAGTTTTATGAACGTATAGCTCGGCTTCTATGGTCATTGACGGAAATGAGAAATCACCTAGAATGTCCGTGTCGCCGGGATAATCTTCGGAATTAGGATTGACCGGAAAAAGACGCATGCCTTCCGCTATTTCGTAATTTTTTAAGGTTTCAAGGCTGACTCCCAATTCCTGGGCCATTGTGTAAATGTCTCTGTGCAAGTGAATTCTTTCTTGCTGTAGATCTTGTATTCGTAATCCCTATAAATAATTATATTATTATTATTTTATCATTTATATATACGACATATCGATTTATGCGCATTGATAGCGACTGATTTTGAATACGTAATAAAAGTACGTTCTTTTCTTTAATGTTATCGAAAATAATCGTGCATACTGTTAAAAGTATTAATTATGAAAAGTGCTCCTCTTTTACATCATTCATATTACTCGTTTGCCATGTAACGGTAGTCAAGTTATTTCACAATTACGAATAAATAATGCAGCGATTGTTTTTCACGAAGTTGTAGTGATTATCATAATTACAGCGCTTGATAATACCAACCCTCATGTAATTGTGCAGTCTGTACATGTGAGGCGGACTTTTCACAGGATGCAAAGTAATGGCACGATGAACTTCTTTTCTCTTGAGATTTCCGGTGAACGCCTGAGCCCCGCTGCTGTTGTGATAAAGAATGGATTGCATCTGCGACATCGTCAATCATCAAGTATATCATGAGCATTATTAATTCTGAGGGAGAAAGAGAAAATAAGCAACAGTAAGTACAGTCATTGCTTTTTTAAACCACATTGAATTAATGTTTTATCAATTATTTTTTCATTTTATTAGAATATAATTATTATTGCATTTTAAGGAATTTTTTTGCTATTGTATGAAAGTGTATCAGCAACACTTGCATGTGTTTGACAGATTTTAATTGGTCATTTGTTTGTGTTTGCCAAAACTAATTTAGGAAACAATAACAAATTGGCACATTGAATCGCGCACTGGTATAATCATCGCGACAGTAGTATTGCGTCTGTCAATTCTGTGCGAGTATTAGTCCGTTCCGAATGTCTGAATGAACGCACAAGCGAGTCTCGGTAAATGACAATTAGCACGCGCAGAAATGGAGTTAAAGTACGGACTTCCTGTTTGAACACATTACGACTTCATAATAATTATTATAAGAACGTACATAGTTGATTTTTTTAATTTTTAATTTTTATTTCTTTTTTTATTATGTCTAAACAAAAACTAAATGTAAGCTGTGCGAGTGTTAATTAGATATAATTGGGCGTGGTGGTTTCTTATTTCATGGAATTACATAGACGTTTCTTCATAACAGCAAGCGTTTTGAAATTTCGCGTCGCGCTTACGTGGCAACAAATTTGTTATGTTTTAATCATATGTTTACTAATAGATGTGTTATTTTTCTCAAATCTTCAGATTGTAAATAAAAAATTGTTCAAAACAAATATCTCAATAATTAAAAAAATATCTGTGGAAGTATTTTTATATTTGTTTTGATCAAAAAGAAAAACACAAAAGTTTTAGTACAAATAAAAAATTTTTATTTTTTAATTGTGGATATTTATACATATTTATGCATTTGAGGCAAAAGATTTATTTACAAAATTGAATGATTAGTATTTAAAAAACACGAAGTTTTAATTTCATCTAAATCATATTTTATACGCATGTAGATATGCGTGTATTTATTTTCGAAAATATTTATATATTACTTTATTGATATTTGATGGAGAAAAAACCTAACTTAATTCACAGATTTTTTATTATTCCGTCAATATTAAATATTTTATGATTTTACTTATCACAAAAAGCTTAATGTTAATTTTGTCCTAAGATGGTCGGAAATAGCCGCAATATTGTTGCTCTTTCCTGCGCTTGTAATAGACGCAACAAAAGACAAGTGGCAAAGACACGCAACCCACTGCCAAGATCGTAAATTTCTCATTGAATCTAGAGGATGCCACGATCGATCAATCACTCGTCAACAGACATTAAACGTGCAAACACATATATTTGTCAGGCGGCAAAGTACGTGCACAAGTGTTGCATGTCGCACGAACAATTGTTAAGTGTTTCGACCTTATGTCGAGTGTTAAGACGAGAACGAATAGATCCTAGACAGTAGGTTAGCAGGGTACGATTTGTGCAGACCTAACGAGTAACATCCTCATCCGTGCACTTTCGTCCGCGTATTGTGCCAGTAATATCAACGCATGTCATCAAAAACCGCGTGCACCTACGCAAGTGCATTGGCAATCCTATCCATAGTGCAGTCGGAGCGAGATGAGACATCGTCGTTTTGTTCACGTACGTATCTCAAGAATGAATAATAAATTATTAATGAGTTAAAATTAATGAGTTATTAATGAATTATGTTAAATATACTTGGCAGTCTCTTTTTATCGAAAAAGGTTATCTAGTAAAATGTTTCACTCCGCGTTTGCATAATTGTTTATTTTCTCTAAATTGACTATCAATGCTTTTTTAATGAATTCTTGTTTTGAAGTTGATATGTTTACTTCAATATTTTCACTTTATCGAATTAGATCATAATTTTTATCACAAAATATATTTCAGACGTGTTTTGCTAAGTTTGTACGTATTATTATTAATTTTATTTGATGTATACTATATTTTGAGTTTTTTAAAGATTTCAGCACTTTGTAATAAAAAAATTATTGTTTAAACGGTACTTAATGTGTCTAAGTGTCAAAATAAAGAAGAATAGTTCGATCAGGTCTGGGTTAACAAAGTAGAATTCCTGCGAATGTCTATATACACAATCAAGTCTTAGTATAGAAGATAAAAGCTCACTCAAAATAGTTAATAAATCATAAATAACAATAAACAACCACAATATATAGTTATATAGTTTGTAGAGTGAGTTTTTCTCTCTCTCGAAGAAAATAAAAAACATCTAAATAATATTAAAGGCTCGTGAAAGTTTCAATGAAAATATAAAGCCGATACGAGCCATTCACAGGATGTTGAGCGGAACTTGTACGTGTATACAAGTTCCGCTCAACATCCTGTGAACGGCTCGTATCGGCCTTATATTTTCATTAAAAAACATCTCCTTTGTTTTTATAATTAGAGTGTTAACACAATAGCAGAATCATACAGTACTGTTATATGTAGTAAATATTTAATAAATAAGATAATAATAATTTTCAATAAAAAAAACCTCTGTGCGTGCGTGCGTGTGTGTACATATAGCTTTAATATTTTTTATTCTTGTCAAACATATCACAATTGTCATCAAGATTTAGCTATCGTTTTAATCGATAGAGAAAAATAGCGATCTCAATGCATAAGATCAAGGTGCAATAAAGTTTTGGCACTCATTGTCAGCAAGATAACACTTAGCATGTATTTTTTGTTGAGTTACGATAAGATAAGAAGTTCGAATTACCAATCTGTGTGTACAACACGTATCATATTCTTGACGATGAAGCAACAAAATCAATACATAAATTAAAAAGTCTAAATTCTTCTCGCAAAAAAAATAAGCGCAAATTTTGCTAATAAAATATTATTTTATATATGTTCAAATAGTTTTTTTCTTAATTTTTATTTGCATGTATTAATATATTTATTTTTAGTAAAGAAAAATTATAAAATAAATAAATGTTACCAAGGACTTCTCATAATTTTAGAAAAGAGGATTTTTCTAAGAATATAACTTGTTGTAATTTCAAAACTAATTTCTAAATTTCTAAACTTTACTTCTTATTTTATACTCTACTATTTTCTTTTTTCACTCATTTTAAATAAAATTTTTCTTTTACATTCAAATATAACCATTTGCAACAACGTCACTTCTCTATAAATATCGTGATTACGAAAAAAAAATTACCTCATAGCTCCAAGTGCAAGGAATGCCTGCATATTTCTTCACGCATCTGCCTAGCTCGACATCTTCATGTGTGGTATACAAATGCCGCAGACAGTACTTGATGTGTGGCACAATTCTTCTTAGCGTTTCCCTGGACAGCACCACTCCCGGACCACCCATGCAGAAATTCTCGTCATATTCCAACGACAGCAATCCAAACTCTTCTGAATTTCCTCTGCCTGCCTGTCCGATATACATCGCTCTTCTGGAGTCAACAGATCTCAGCAACGTCTCCAAACGGTCTGTTCTCACATACACATCATCATCCGCTCTCAAAAACCATTCAAAGCGATCGCCAAAGTTATTCCACATGTATTGCAGCATCATGAAGGACTTTTTCTGCGGTGGATATGTATCGTCCACTCGTGGAAGTGGCACCAGCGGTAGATCCGGGCAATTTTCCGGGACTGTCGAAGATTCCGACGAGAAGAAGGCGATCTTACCGGGTAATTCCCTGCCCCACGTTTCATAGACAGCTTTCGCCCGCGTATCTAAGTACTTTTCAGCCGTCATCACACCTACAAACACCAGATTCGAGCTCGAGCTGTTGATCTCGTTATCTTTCAGCTCCGGTATGTTCTGAGCCAACGCTCTCGGCAGCGATCGTAATCCAGGCATAGAAGTCCAGATGGTAACCTGTTGCTGCTGATTCGTGACGACTAGGCGGTAGCTCAGAATCAGAAAACCAAGAATCAATCCCACAACAAGGCCCAGTAAGGCACTACCCAATCCACGTCGTTTACGCATCACTAGGTGATACGTCACCTCTCCCATTTACGCTCTTCAGAAGTCTCTGGATCTTCGCTCGGGTTCATTTTCGTTGTAGTACCCGCGATCGCTAACTCAGGTATAATAATTAGTTCCGTTACAGAATATTCTTGGAGCAATCCCATCGCTCCGCTTATTGAGAATACGAAGGAATTTTCTTCGAGATGTAGAAAATCTATAGATAGAATTTGTTCTACGTTATTTTATATAGTAAATTGAAAACATACTTTTTTCAAGAACTTTTATAAAAGTTATTATTTTTATTATTGTTTTCAAAAGCGCATATTAGAAGAGAAATAGATCTCTATCTAATATTTTATTTTATATTTTATAACTAATAATATATAGTAATCTCTCAATATTTTCTTGTGTGTGTGTGTGTGTGTGTGTGTGTGTGTGTGTGTGTGTGTGCGCGCGCGCGCGCGTGTGTGTGCAAATAAAAAAACCTCAAGATATAAGTTGGCATAAATTGTGTCTTATGCATACAATGAGAAAACGCTTATGTATATATGTTGTCAACTGATTGTTGAATTTTAAATGAATCTTTGTAAAAAATCTTTTTTTTAAATAGATTTCTCCTTACAAAATTTCAGATAACATTCTCAGAAAGAGTTACATGTGTTATCAGATCTTTTAAACGAATTCTGCGAGTAATGCGTAGACCTTGATTTATGTCAAGTGTTCTTTGTAAAGCAAGTTTTGACTGATTTTCTTCTCACAAAACTTCGGTTTAGGCGATTAGTCATTGTTGCGCTTTATTTAAGAAACGCAAATTTAATATTATCTTTGACGCATTAATATTAGTTTTAATTTATCGTTTGCACATTTAGTTAGAAAAGTACAAATAGATTTTTGCGGAACTTACATTAAATATTTGCTTCACTAAGACAACAAAGATCGTCATATCTATTGTCATATTGTGTCAATAATATTGGTATGATAAAAGAACATGCAGTAAATCCCCTTTTGAAAATCTGAAAACAAAGCAAATTATCAATTCTAAGATGGATCATTAAATAAATAATATGTCTATAAACATATTAGTGAACTCAATATGTAAGAGTTATATCCAACTTTGAAAAACGAAGTCAAATGCGTAAAACAACAGAGATTCAAGCCAATATTGTCAGCAATTGATATACAATTATTTTTCATCATCAAGCATTGTTTGCAATATATGCTTTATTGTAATGTTAATTACGGTATCGTACACATTAATGTAACTTTAGTTGTGTGCATATTACTCTATCTTATTGTAATATATATATGTCGCATAATAATCTAAAAAGTAAAATCTTCTCAGAGTTAAAAATATCCTGAAGTTTAGAAAAGAACGATATTGTAATTTACTTATGTATTTGAGTCGGTGTTTTCGTACTCTAGAAAAATATTTCTGCACGATTGATATTTAATAGCCGGTCACATAACTTGTAATAACAAGAACTAAAACAAAGCAAGCTTTGTCTAAATCTGGAAAGTCGTAAAATGTGTGTATATGTAGCGAGCGAAACACGTTGTGTTCAGAAATGAGAACCCGTCGCCGTTACGTTAAGTCTTTTCTCGGTGAATTAAGCACGCGGTTCTGTTATTTTCACGATTGTGCTCAGGAATGCAACATTCTACAAATACGCAACAGATTACTTGTTGTATAAACGTATATTCATATATGTAATTAATATTTAAAGCCTACAATTTTTATCTGCCATCTTAGCCACCTTATATGTCATATATTCCCAGCTATAAAAATATTTGTCAAATAAAAGTTCTAAAGTTAAATGTTTTTTTTCAGCTAATAATTACACGACAAACACACATATGTTGCCACAGATTTAGTTGAGAGTTTATAAAGTTCTTCGCGCGTGTTTTGCAGACAGCGAAGCTCTCTGAGGATGATGTTTTAAAAGGATGATGTATTTTTTGTGTGCTCTTCGTTTTGGACGTTCTTTCTAGAGATTGCGTTTGCATCGTTATTTTTAATTTATTTATCTCCAAATCAGCGTAGACAAAGGCTCGACTCTCGGCTGAACCGGTTTCATGCCGGTCATTATACATGCATGTGCATATTGACGAAGTAGACTTGAGTAATGTGGTGCTTTCTAGTAAAATTTTTACAATTCTTACCGAATCGCCCGCAACGCGTCGCAGGTCCTTAACATACTTATCATTATAAAAAAAATAAAAAAAAAAAAAAACTACTTTTCGAAGCTTCTGTATAAAATATTTATTGAATTAACATAAGTTTTGTAAGTCTGCAATATAACGGTTTACAACGCAATTGGCAATTTTTAAGGTAGCGTGACTATGTAGTCAGTTTTGTTTCTGAAAATATAATATCTATATCGCAAATTCGAAAATTCTCTCGAAAATATGGATAATTATCGGACGAATAATTATGAATTGAACTATTATATAGATACACTTGGCTAGATCATTATTTATGAGATCGTAGTCGATCTTTATCAATTGATTGTTTCGCAGTAGTTTTCGCACGATCTCTTCCGTTCACACATACCACATTACACACACACAGACTTATTAGAGAAAAACCTATGTAATTTCTTTCAATAAATTCTCTGAGATTCAGGTAACTTACCCATTGCGTTGTATTATAATGGCGAACACGACTCGCCTTTATTCAACACTCAATCACGCAACTATATTTTCGCATGGTTATTAAATTATTTACAGAACACACACGATTTTGCAATCGTATTACCAATTGCATATTAAAGCACATCAACATTGTTCTTTATTGAACACTGCAAATTTTGTTCAACTACACACATTAACGTAAATATAAATAAAACAAAATTCCACTAATATGTTCTTAAACAACATTAACACCAGTCGCTTTATCAAAATAATGCAAATCTCTCACAAACATTAATCACTAAAATCATAAAACACTTATTTTCTTTAAAAGTAAGAAAACTTTTTTAAAAGTAAGATAAGACCGCGAATTGATATCGCGAAAACAGGAAACGAATGATCGACTGTAGTTCGCGAAAAATTACTCGAAGAAAACAATCCGAATACATAGCGAATATATCAAATCCGGTACTGGTTAAGAAAAAAGCGTGTTGGATGCAGGGACTGATTGGGGTCAAAAATCACGAGTCCTCAACATGTCCGCAAAGAGAGAAGAGCCAGTGAAGTAGCGAGTACGCGGTAATCGCGATTACACGCACGACTCTATGAATCCACGAAATCCCGGTGTTCGTCCCGTTAAAGGATACGCTCTCCGGAGTGACGTGGACGAACGAGCGTATATACGAAAGACGGGAGAACCGGTTTAAGCCGAAAGTCAGTGTCGAACAGAACACAAAGCTAGATCGCGCGCGCGATCCGAGCAGTGGCGTCTAGGCCGATTAAAGTAAGGAAGCGACGGAATTTTAGGTCAAGGCAGTTCTTCAAAATCATCTCCACAATGCGCCACAGTGAAGACAAAGACAAAACTAAGACATGTAAAATAATGACCAATAAAATATCGACTGTGGGAATTTGCGTAAAAGTTTCTCCGAAATTCATGTGAATAGTATATTAGCGAAATTTTGATAATTAATATTTGAAATATTTAATAGTGCAGAAAATTGATTTTTCCACGTGAGAAATTTCTGTCATTAAATAGATCTACATATTGTATTAATTGAATTTTTGTTTAAACCATTACATAAGTGAGTCATATATATGCAATAAAGTCTTCAAAAAATCTCGCAATCAGCAAAAGTGATAAATTTTAAAATTGGTAAAAGTAATAAAAGTAATTTAATGGCAAAATCAGTTTTTTTAGAACAAGTTTGTTATTCGTATACAAAACTGGCTTTGTGTGTTATACTAGTTGTATATATTTTGACATTACATCGTTACATTAAGATGAATTCTTGCAAACTTCAAATGAAGTTAATTTAGTATCAAAATAGTAAATTTATAACTATGTTCTTGTATAAATTGTATTGTTTTTGAAAACTAAATAATTATAGAAGTGTTTCTTTTGTCGATCTTATACGAACATTTCTAAAAATATATTTAAGAACACAGTGACTCGTGACCGGCAATAAGTGATTTTATAAGTACTGGAAGATTCGATTTCACTATAAAGTTCTCAAAAACGATCAAAGGCGTTTTATAGCAAAACACCCGGATGTCTAGAAACGTGTGGCGGTTAGTCAACCGCGGAAATGTCAGTTTACATTAGCGACGCAATGGCTGTACGTTCTCAAGATATCTTGATCCAGCCGTTATCTCCGGTTTGTAGCCGAAGCTTTCGAAAACACTTAGTTGAAGAGAAGAAGCTTTCTCAACTAACCAGACGCGTCAGACTCGCTAATTGTTCTCACAGATGGCGAGAATCATCACTGGAGAACGACAAACGGATGCAACCAGATCGTCGAGGTCGTGACTCGAATCGGAGACGACAAGCAAGACTGTTCAATCGACTGGACAAGAGTCATCGACACGGAGCTACGACGAATTGCCTTTGTTATTCGTCGTCGAACGATTTTATTTCATGCTCTAGCTAGTAGACTTTCGTGAGAAATGTCGACGTTCCGTGCTCTTAACCCAAATTTAATCTCTCGTCTGTAAAATGTAGGTAAATTTTTTTGACGAAGCGAGTTCAGTGCTTTTCAAAAAATCATTGATCAGAATTTTATTGTGCACATATTTTCTTTATATATGTAGCTTAAAGTGTGCGATATGCAATTACGGCAACATTTTTACGATCAAAACTCATTAAAGTGAGTATAGTATAACGAAGTGGGTCTTGTTTAATCATAGATCGGATCTTAAAATATACGTAACGTTTACAACGTTAAAAACATACCTCATTCTATACGTATTCAGAGTAACATGTATGAATGTGTATTTATATTCTTTAAGAAGAAATACGTTATCTCTCTCTTTCTTCCTTTTTCTGTTTGGAAAAAGAAACTTACCTTTTTTAGAACAATGATTATTTCTTCGTCGACATTACTGTGTCCGCGCAATGTGATGCGCCTTTCACAATGAAAACCGCTATTGTCGCACGTTTCATTTTCGCGGTCGTAAACTTCGATAAGCCACACAATCGCTAATTCACAGAAATTCACTTGCTGACGACACTCCGTAAGAACAACTTCTGACTGTCTTTTTCACTAAAAAGATAGGAATTAGTCAGCTCATTACCGGTCATTTTATGATTATAGACCCCACTTTAATCAGACTCATAAAAGTCTCAAGTAAAGTTTCCGAAAGTAGAAAATCAAACAATTAATAATTTATGTTTAATAGAAGTTACTCGAGGCAATTTTCAATATTTCAATATCTCATCAAACAAATAGCACAGTTTGCAATATTTTTGTTTCTCAGTCACACAATTTTATATATTTAAACAAGCGCAAAAAAATGTGTAAATATATTTTTTTATTTAAAAACGAAACAATTAGGGAAAATTTATTGTAATTCTCTCATATTGTTCTTAAATATCAGATCTTCACAGGAAACGTAACAACAAAATCGAGTATCGAATGTTCGTGGGCTTACGAGAGAGCTTACTTGTGAAACTGCGGCGAGTGAAAAGTACCCTCACCCATGCCGGAAATGCGATCCGATTAAAAACCGGCGTTGAGGCAAGCGGCGGTGATAGTGGTGGTAGTGGCGGCGGCGGCGGCGGCAGCAACAGTAACGGCCGCTTTTCGAGTCGAGTCGAGGCGTGTGTTGCGAATAGGATACCACCGCTGGCCACCGCCGCGACTGACTGAGAGGAACGAGAAGTCGGCAGCTACGACAAGGCGGGCAAAAGCAGCTCAGCCGGAGCAGGGAGAGCTAACCAATAGCCGAATCGAACAAATAAACGCGCGATCGCTGCATCGCTAAGTTTTTCGAGTGACAAGCGGTTTTTAGTATTTTTCATCTTTTTTGATGTCTGAAGTTTCTTCAGCCAGAGCGCCGTTGATCTTGATCCTCCTGCCGACTTCTTTTCAGATTCTGAATCTTGTTTGCAGTAAATGTTGCGGACATACTGGTGGCTCTCAGAATGTATCACGTGTGCGTAACATATTGCCGGCTGACGATTAAGAACCGGGTTTGCACAAGTGCGAGCTTTTGAACTTGATAAAGTATTCATGTTCAGATATCTCTGATTTCTTATCGTATATCTAAAATTAATTTTTTCCTTTTCAATAAAATTATTTTCTACACAATTTTTTTATACCTAGTATTTTAATAATTTAAGTTTAGATTTTCTTACACTTGAAATTTTGCTTTTTGTGATGTAATAAGCTCGTGGAAAGAGCACCACATGGTGTTTTCTGAAATTATTATCTGATATAGATTGCAACACTGAGAATCTATGATGTAAGTGCAACACAATGGAAATAAAAAATTACAATAAATAAATAATGGCAGTTTGTAAAACGTCCAGCAGTTATCGACTACCGTATACATACTCGAATGATGAGTCAGTTTTGTTAATCGTAAGCACGAAGTTGCAAAAGGGCATTCCGCTTTTTGAACGACAGCGCGTTTGCGGCTTGATTGAATAATTAAAGTGAGTTTTATTAATCCCCTGCACAGAAACGGAAAATAGTTTAGTAGAATATATTTAGATAAATATTTCAATCATTTGATCACATCCCTCTATGATCGCCTATCATTAATGTTCTATCATTCATCTCATGTCGATCACATCTGAATCTTTAACGAGCCGGAAAAGTAGCAATAATTGAAAGACGCGCCTAAATAACCTTACTATCTTCCGCTTTTGATATTCATGACCGAAAAGACGCATTGCGTTTTTGTACAAATCATACTATGCTTCAAAATATTAATTGCTTAAATTTTTACACAATTAGTTTATTATATAATCAATGAAAGGTATAATTAATAATTTGGTTGGTCGCGCAAAGCAATAGTATTTCATTTTATTTTTTAAATGCAGTTTTATTGTAAAAGAGAAAATTAATTAATTAAACGCCATTTTATGTGAAACAGTGTTTTTCAGTGAGAACGACATTATGCTCACACAACATTATTAAATACATCGCGTTCTTAAAACAACTCGCTCAGTGTAAGAACAGCACAAGAGCTGTCACAGTCGGGTTACGGCTACTATAGCTCGTTATAGTAGCGAGCGTGTCTGTAAAGCAGGAACTTCCGTCGAAATAGAGGCGAATTGAACTATCTTTACGCTTCGTGAATTTCACATTATCTCTCATTCGCCGCGCTCGATTCTTGATAGACCGGAACGATCGGATTAAAACACAAAGAATAAGCTTAGAAATATATGCGTGAAACACATGTGAATATGTAGAGTGCAAAAAACGACATGTGTCGCGTTGTGACTAATTTATTTAACCAAATCCACTTTCGAAATCGTGACAATCGAGATAATTCAAATTGTTCGAAAAAGTAATAGTTTTATTATATATCAAAAGATATTGCACAATAAAAATATGTTTAATATCTGCCACAAAAGTAAACTCAGAACATCTTCGTTTATTGAAAGTCACCATCGCGACAACGTGAATATAATCGAACAACTATTGCTAACGGCTCTCTCAGATTCTATATTCACATACGGGTTATTCTATACAAATTTCCATATTCCAGACCGTTCATTCAGAGAGAAGAATGAGAGCGACCACGGCCATAAGAGAATGTGTAATCACTTTTCGTGGACATGGTTCCATTCCGTGGTGTGAGGAACACCGACGTGGTAAGAATACGCACACAAGCGAGAACCGCGTCGTCATACATCACATAATATGGTCTGCACTTTTTCACGAGCCCACACGGACGGCGGTTCTCGCTTGTGTGCGTATCCTCACCACGTCGGTGTTCCTCACAGCACGGAATGGAACCATGTCCACGAAAAGTGATTACACATTCTCTTATGGCCGTGGTCGCTCTCATTCTTCTCTCTGGTTCATTAGACGTCACTTTGAGTTATGCACGTCCATTAGATGTATGTCGTCTATACGTCATGGGTTTTGCATGGGTAGTTTCAAAAACCTAACCTAACAGCTTGAGATAATATCATCGACTGTTGTAAAAGTTGTAATGATTATTACCGACTCGATAATGAGCTTTTCAATTAAATTTCTAAATTTTTTTTCGCTCTGTTGGCACGACTGACGCGCGACCGTTTTAGACCAACCGTTTTCATTGAACGTTTTACGTGTTAACTCCAACCACTTTTCGTGTTTGTAGTTTTATTAAATAAATTAATTAATATTTGCAACGAACCAATATAAATAAGAGTCGCATGATAATCAATAGCTGCAACAGCTGATGTAGTATAACAGAGTGTAATATTACCTTTGAAATGTAATGAATTACAGACTGAGCGAGTGGTTAAACATATATGTATTTAGCTTTGCGTCCTTTATATACATTGATCATCAAGATTTATCAGAATGAGCACGTCACAGGACGAAGACGAGCGTAGAAAACGTTCGCTGCAAGCTGGTAGAGAGATAGTAAGTATTTCCTTTTTTCTACTTATGATAATCATTTCTATTTTGTATCCTTGTAACATATTTGAAAATCACTTTTTTTATTTTCTATTATTAATATTGTTCTCTCTACATTTCTTATAGTATAATAAGACTAAAGAAGTAAGCTACTGATAAAATAAAGAAATAATATATAATCAATGATACATGAAATCCTAGAATATTTCTTGATTTTTTAATTTTTGAGTCATTTTAACATACACATTTGAAAAAACAATGAGGCAACAGAATAAAAAACACAACATATATTTATATATACAGCAGGTATTGATTCACCAGAGGGCTGGTATGTTTTCCTCAAAACATCTTATACATTTGAAATCTTATATATTTGATGTTTAAAACTTATAAATATGTAAATATAACTTGTACGTATAATAAACATCTTACATAAAGTTATTATGCAGATTCAGAACTAATATATTGGTTGCCAGTTTTCTAAGGGTTAGAGTCAATAGTCTTATAATAGATAATAAATGTTTGCTTTGAACTATTACAAATATACTAGTAAAAAAAATATGTATATATATTAATAAGAGGCAGTAGATGGAAGATTAGCAAAAAATATGTTGAAAAAATTTGATTCTTTTCAATATATTTGTTACAAAAAAAAAAAAACATAAGCAAATAAAACAAGGACTAGATACATAGATTAGGAAGAGAATCACTAATTAATATCCTTTGTGATTGACCAGTTAAAAATGACCATGTTGCTATACATTGTATTCCTGGTTATGCTATTTCATTGCCCATAGTTTTTATTAATATGCTAATGATTATAAAAATTAAAAGATTAAAACATCTTTGTATTTAATGCCCTTGAGTATTTATAATTTTTTTAGCCATACATTTGATAATAGAGTATTGTTCTCTTTAGTCTTAACACACTATTTAATTTACTATCTTAAGATTTTTACTATAATCTTAATTTGAGAAAACATTGTAAAATTTCTTTTAAATTGACAAATGTTTGTTTTAATAAATCAATAAAGTATAATAATGAAAATTTTAATTTTTTTGCAGTTGGAGCAATATAAGGCAAGTCGGTTCAATAAAAGCAAAACCAAAGCCACAAGCGAACATATGGAACCACAGTCTGACAACGAATCGTTTAGTAATGAAAAATCTATATTGCATACAGAATCTGGTGTAAGAATAAGATAAATATTCTTTGTTAGAATATTTATAATTACTTTATCACATATTTGAATTAATAATAGTTTTACTCTTTTATTTATTTTTTATATTAGACAAATGAAAGTATATTTTCAAGAGATGTAACACACAGCAGTGTTAGTATAAGTGAAGGAGATTTGGAAGGATTAGCAGGTCGAGTTGCAGAATTAGAAGAATTACTGCAGGGAAAAGAAGCTGTAGTTGGAGCTTTAAATGCAGAAATAGATCATTTGCGAGCTGAGACATCATCTCCAAACTCATCACATAGTCAGAGTAGCAGTACAAAAGATGGAAAAGAGATTACATTCTTATATCATACAAAAGTATGTGACATCTAAAAATTACCTTATAGTATATACAACTTAATTTTATTACTTTTTATTAATATAATATAGCGTAAAATTATTATTTTAATAATATAAATATATATGTGTGTATATATAACAAACACTGCAAACATAATCTCTATATAAATTTAGAATAATACATCATGTTTTTACAAATATGAAACAGCTGCAAGAATTTGAAAAAGCAGTAAATCAACGTGACACTCTAATAGAGCACTTGACAACATCTTTAGAACAAGCATTATCTGCCAGAGATGCTGTCACAGCACAACTTAATGCTTTGAATATTGAAAAGTTGACCAATCCTGTGGTAGATAATATGAACTTGCAGCAAAAGGCAAGTAGCATACTTCATACAACATTTCGCAATTGTTATATATTGTAACCTTGCTACATATGTGTAACTGTGCTATATATGTGGATAAAATGAATAAATTTAACTATTATAAGATGACAGACGATATGTACTAGGCTTTAATTAATTAAAAAATGTAAATATAAAAAAATTATCAAATATAGTGAAATAAGTGAAATATTAAAAGAAAGGGAAGAATAGGAAATAGTGAGAGCAAATCACAGAATCAGTACGCTAAAAAGTCCCAGTTAGAAATGAAGATAAACGTCAAAAATCGCTTTAATCTTACATAAATAATTCTCTGAATATTTTAGATTGAAATTTTGGAAACGACAATGAGTGACCAAGAGGCAGTGATCCATCGTTTAAATGCACACTTGACAGATATTCGTAAGCATGTACAAACACTGGAGATGGAAAGAGAAACACGAAATGCAGAAATCAATGATTACAAAATGCAGATAAATAATCTTAATGAGCAGATCCGTTATGGAGCTGCCGAGAAGAATTTAAACATTGATGAAACTTTGAAGCAACAGAAGCAATATGAAGCACGTGTTGATAAAATCAAACAGGACATGGAACATATTTTAAACAAATTCACCACTGTAACGAATGCGAATGCGATACGTCATCAGCAAGAGTTAAAGGTAAGGCTTTTTATTAGAATATAAATTTTTTATCATTTTCTCTACGTATAGATGCGATCGGGATCGTTGCGATCGCAAAGTAAAATCTACTCTATATTTTTTCAAAAAAAATATAAAAATTTTAACATGTGTGAACGTACATGTGTGTAGAGTTGTTTTCTTGTAATTCAGAAACTTCTATACTAGAATATACTAAAATATTCTAGTAAAAAATAATGTAAGAAAATAGAGAATAGAAGAATGATACATAAAAATTACTATTCTATTTTATATTTAATATTAAAAAAACAAAAACAAACATGAAACATTAATATCTAATTTAAAAAAAATAAAATAAAGAATAAAGAAATGAAGCATAAACAATATCTATTTTTTGTCTTAGTTGTGCATTTTCGAATCATTAGAATGATCGTTTCACTAAAAGTTCTCTGCACTGATATTACACTTTTATGATATATGATTACAGGATTTAGCTTTAAAAAACGAAACTGAAATCGCGAATACAAAAGCCAAGTATGAAGAATGTATAAAAGCACTGAAGGACGAAAATAAAATGTTAGCCGATCGTTTGAACAAGGAATTGCCAGACTTGGAAAGCAAGCATGCCAAAGAATTGTCTGTCTTTCAAACGCAATTGGCTCACTATAAGAAAACAGTCGAGGCATTGAAACTTGAATTAATGAATCACGCCGAAGCGCAAAAGATTGCTCAATCTGAAGTTCAATTGTACAAATCAAAACTCGACGAAGTGAGATTTGAAGCAGAAAACGAGCAACGCATGCAAAGTTTACAGTTTCAAAAAGAAAAAGAATTATTGAACGAGCAAATCAGATTGCATAAAATTCAATTAGAAGACATTACGTCGAAGCATATCACAACGATGAGTATCTTGGAATCTAAAGAGAGCATCGAGCGTTCACTGGAACAAGCTCTATCAAACGCTGCTGTGTTGAAGCAGGAGAACGATGTTTTGAAATTTAAACTTGACGATTTGTCGTGCAGATATTCCACTGCGCAGTCGATAATCGAAAATAGTCAAATGCACGAAAGGACTCTAAGTGGTAGAGTGGTCGAACTAGAGAGATCTTTGACGCGGTTTGACGCTACGAGTGTCAGCACGGTTAGTGAGCTGGGTGACACTATGTACAAAACATTCGATGAGGAAGATGTGAAGAAACAATTAATAAAGCAAAGACTTGAGGAAAAAACAGAGATGGAAAAGTTGTTGGTTGAGAAAATTCACGTACTTGAAGATGATTTGTTCAAAGCAAAAGCCGAACTAGAACAGGCTGACTTTGCCAAGGAAGCTTATGAGAAACAATTAAAAGACATGAAGAATATGTGCGACAAATTGCAACAGGAGGCTGCTTCGGTCAATGCTTCCATTCAAGGACATTCAGAGAGCCTCTCAATGCACATTGAGAGCGATTCAGTGCAAAAACTAAAAGAACAACAGAAAGAAATCGAAAGTCTGAAGCTGTTAGTTGAACAGAAAGAAACGGAGAACGCGAGTTGTAAAAAAGACTTGGTTGAAATGACGGAAAAGACGAAGAAACTAGAAGCACAATGTGAACAATTAAAAGATGGTTTGGCTCAGGCGTGGGCTCAATGCGCTGAATTTGAAGAAAAATTGAATCAAAGTATAGCGATGAGCGAAAGCAGTAAAATTAATGTGTCTCTGAATAGTACAACTTCGTCAAAACTTAAAACAAACGAAAGTTGGGATGACAGTGCATCTGATCAAAATTCAATGTATAAGAAGAAAGCTGCGCAGTCGAATAACAGTTATGTGAAGAATGACAGCGAAAACTTGTACAAAGAGTTACAGCAAATTATGGAAGGCGAGTCGAGCTTAGATGAGGTCAAGTTCAAGTTACATCGCTATTATACATTGTGCGAGAAAGTGGCAACAGAAAAAGCGCAACTTTTAGCAGGAATAGTTATTTCACAACAACAACAACAGGAGACCAAAGACTTACTAAGATCTTCGAACAGCTTACGAATGGAAAAAGAACTATTGAGTCAGAGAATTGAGAACATAGTGAGTCGATATAAAGAAGAACTAGAATCCGTTAAAGCAGACTCTGCTAAAGAAATCAAAAGACTTCATATATTGCTACAAAATATCAAGGTAAATTATTTTTTTAATTTTTGTTTAATATTTTTCTCAGAATTTTTGTGTTATATTACTTTTTAAGGTCTAATAACATTTTTTGCGATTACACTTTGTCTTTTTGTAAATTTATATAATTTTTTATATTCTAGGATGGCGATGCAAACTTGAACGATCTAAGAACTGAGCTCGAGACACATCATGCTAAAGAAATGGAAGAACTGAGAACATACTTTGAGAGGAAGTGCTTGCAAATGGAAAAACAATATTCAGAGGAAATTTTTAGCCAACAATCGAAACGTATTTCCGATAATGACAGTGAAACTGAAGAGTTGACTGATGATCTTTATTTTGGTGGTGCTGGTGATTGCTTAAACGTATCCAACTCACGAGCAGCAACGCCTGGTGCGATCGAAGAATCTCTAAAAATTTTAGATGTTGAAAATCAAGCACATCTCGAATCAGAATTCGAAAGTAGTATCGAAGTGTTGCGACAGGAATTGGAACACAAAATCAAAGAAATACAAAATATAAAAGCTGATCATGAAAAAGCAATCAAAAAGCAAAAAGAATTTTACGAGTGTCAAATTCGCGATATGGAAGCAAAACTAGAACGCTCATTAGCTGTTTCTACCGTTCATCAGGTAAGACAAACCATTCGCCTTATCATGATATTGCTTTATTAACTGTGCTGATGAGAGTGAGATTTCTGTCTTTTAATAGCTATTAGAGAAAGATAGAATGCTTCTTTATTTGAAAAATTTAAATTATTTCAAAATAAAGCTAAATCACATTTAAATTGCAAGAATGTTATTTATTTGACTTAACACATCTTGGCTTGGTTTGTAAATGTTTTCGTTAAATTTAGTCTCTATATTGTGGATTTACCCTCACGAATTTCTCTTTATTGTTAGTATTGCTTAAATTGTTCAAGTTTTAAGGAATTTATATAAATATGCCGCTTATATTGCTTTTTTAAAGTTATTTTTTGCAAAACAATTTGTAGTAGATTTTGTTTTGTATGAATTTTCAGAGAGAGAGTATTAAAATAGATGATGCATGATAATGCAGTATACGGATTATTTGTCATTCTTTTGTCTCTCTGATCTTTTTTGTTTCATTTTAATAGGTACATTTTTTGTATGAGATTGTAGTAACTAAAAAATAAATTTGTATTTCATAGTCTTATAAAAAATAATTGTCTATTAATATGCAAATTTTCTTGTGACTAACATATTGTCGTGTGACTTCATGTTTTGCATGTAGCATTGTCAAACAGAATGGGAAGCATTGGAGAATGGTGAATTGTCGAGTTTGCGTGATGCGTATAATCATCAACTCGAAGAACAGATTGCGCTAGCTAAACAAGATATTGTCAACGCACTTCAAGAGCAATTTCAGGTAGATTTGCATTATATGCAATCAAGCTGATTTTAAGAATGAAATATAAATGAGATAAAATTACACATGTCTCGCAATTACATTCTTAAAGAAAAAAACGTATGCTCTTTGTTTGTTATATGTATATTTTCAAGACAGAAATATTCTTTATGTTATATGTATATTATCACATTTGATTCATATAATTTCTCTCAATATATTCAATAACTTGTTAGATGATTATTGAGTGTTCTCTGATTCGCAGGCATTATTAGAGTCAGACAAAGAAGAAAATTGGCCACTCGAGTTGTTGGAATTACGAGATAAATTTACAAGCAACGCTAAGCAAGAAATCCAAGAATTAAAAAAAATGCATTGCGCTGAATTAGCTCGTCTGAAAGATGAACATAATAGTGTTGTAGCGCAAATATTTGAACAACATAAAAAAGAAATCAACAATCTTAAAACAAATATTGAGAATGTAGATAATAAACAGGAAACTAACTATGTCAGATCTTCAGACAAAAGCATCGTAGTTGAAAGGTAATTTATTATTAAACATTATAGTTTACTAGGCTATATAACTTTAAAAACAAAAAAATGATCGAAATAAGGTTCTGATGAATTTTTAATTAAGAGAAATAAGAAAACATTTAACAGTTGAAATCATCAAAAACTATCAGAGCTGTATTTCGATTATTTGTTTAAATTCACGCTTTTTGAAAAAAGCGTTATTTCGTAAATATTTTATATTGAACATTGCGAGAAATATCATTAAGTTCTTTGGCAGCCAACTATTAAGCGACTGCATCGAATGCGGGAAATTCGGGCTTGACTTTTCTAGTCAAGATGTTTTTTTCGCAACAGGTTTTTTTCCTTTTTTAAATTAAATTTAAGGCTCAAAGGAGAGATTTTTTTATACGAGATGCAAACTAAACATCCACTGTAGTTTTTCAAATTAATACTAATTTAAATCTATGTGGTTTGCCAATATATATTTATTATATATTTTATTTTTATTAGAGATAATTTGTACAAATTATGCATAAAACTCAAGAATTTTCTTGGAGAATTACTTAACTACTTTTCGGACTGCGAAGAAGAAGTTAACAACACACTGATCAATGAAGTTTTGAAAAAACAACTAACAGAATCCGTTTGCTGTGAAGGAGATTTAAACAAAACTGATAATGCCATTGTATCTGAAGTACCACAAAAGGATTTTTCCGATCAAACAAAGCAACTGATCAAACGAGTCCATTTTGTACCACAATCTAGCAAAATAACTTCCATTGTTAACAGCGACGACAGAACGCTGCAAAGCTTAATAGATGAAGATGTAGATGAGATACTGAAAAAAGAGCTGAAGACTTGTTTGAGACGCTTAAAGACAGATAACATGCGAATTCTTAATCTTTCGTTAACAGACGGCGAAAAAAAAACTGCATCGCCATCAAAGGAATCTTTTTTAGATGAAAAAAGTAATGAAGAGCTTTCTTTGAAATTAAGCCACGCTGAAGCATTGATAATAGGCTATCAAGAAAAGACAGAACAGCTAAAATTGCATATTTTAGAACTGCAGCAAAAATTGATTGATGCAGAAAACAAAAAAGAAATTATTACTGAAGGATATGGCGAAAGTGACCTTTCTAGAGGCGACGTTGCATTACAAGACTTGTCGCAATTACAAGAAAAAGGTAAATATTTATCTAATTGTATTATATAAATACACACACACAGATATATATATATATACATATACATACATACATACATATAGAAAAATATATGTAATTTCTGTAATAATTTTTATACTTGGATTATTCTTATGTAACTTGCAGCTAGACACGTATTATCAAACGGCGGTGGCGATACGTCTTATTTACTGCAATTAATTGAAGAACTATGCAGGCAGAATGATAAGCTTGTAGATGACGCTAAAAGAGAAAGAGAAGATTTACAACAACAGGTAAACTCATATGTCAATTTTGCTTGAAATGTATCAATTGCATGATCTCTAATTATTCTATTATATATGGTATGCCAGCACAGTGATGAATATTGCGGTGTATACGGTGTTTCGTTGAGAACAAACTTGTTTTTATAGTTTATTCAGTCTATATTTCTGTATTTTGATGAGCTTCGGCATTTATATTATTATATAACGTATGTGTTTTTTTTTAATTGTATAGCAAAAGTTGTTAACACAAACATTTTGTCATTTATATTGCACGTTATTTACACTATGCAATTATGAAATAGTTGATGTTTTTATTATAAAGTTTTTATTTTTTTAAGTATATTATAAGATTATATAAAAAAATCACGCTTCGGTATGTACACTATATGTAGAGTGTCACAAGAAACCCGAATAATTAGAGTTTTTATTCTTCTGGAATCCTAGATTTTCTGTTTCTTAGGTAGATCGTTAAATATTTTCTATATTCTTTTTTTATATTCTTGTAGATCTGCAAAATTGTAAATCTTTACGCATAGAAATCTTGGCGTTTGAAAGTTGGGTTTACTTTTCTATAGTTGTATTCTTCTCTTTAAAAGTTAAAGATTTAATAATTATTTGCAAATAAACGTTATATAGTTAGTATTTATTTTTCTTTGCACTTTTTGTACAAAATATTTCCTTTAATAATCAATATTATAATTGTATAAATATAATTTTCAGTTAGATAAGAAAGAATAAGTTAGAGAGCAGTACATATACACAGCAATGACATATTAAAAAATACTTGGCTCTCATGACCGTTTAAATTTCGCGTTGTTAGTTTGAAACTTAAGATCCTAAACTCTTAAAAATACTTTTTATTAATGAAAACTATAATTCGATTTTAATTCTTCAATAAAAAGAATCCAAAACAAAAGTGCATAGCTCTGCGATGCAGATTTAAGAGATTGATTGGCGTTCTGTTGTCTTGCCAGCAGGTATCTTTAGAACCTACTCCTACCCCATACATTCACAGGGTTTGCTGCAAAAAGGTAAATTAAAGAGTTACTAATATTGTGTATAAAACGCTGTCCGTAAGTTAAATTGCTTATATTAATAAACGTAACATTTCATCGCCAGTAGAAATGCGAACAAATCTTTAATTGAAATATTTTTCTATTTATATAATACATATGTGTATGCGCGCGCGTCTATTTATTATTACATTTGATAGTTTGCTGTGTGCATGATGTTGAAATTAAATTGTTGCCTTGCATGATATGTTTTATCGGAATTTATTGGGATTCTACTATTTTTCTATTTTTTCTGTTAAATTGTCGTCAGTTTATATGCATTTCCTCAAAAGAATTTTGGATATTTTATCTCCTCTCTAATTCTATTAACATTCTTTCATATTGAATAACACTGTAGTTTTGAGAAGCGTTTAGAAGTTTTTTTAAATATCTAAAGTTTTGGAACAGTATATTAATTGTTTTTCTTTTTCATTTTGCAAAAACTTGTTGTCAGTTCAGATGTTAAAGTGTGTTCTTTAATTAAACAAAAATACTAATTAAAGTATGTATAATAAAGTATACTTAGTATATAAATATATCATAGAGTATTGTATCTGCATACTCATTGTATTATATATATATATATATATATATATATATATATATAACATTTATTTGTTTGCACTTGTAAGTCATATAGTTTAAATAATACTATAAATTTAACAGAGTTTAAAATTTTATTTTTTTAGTTTTATTTAACTATATTTCTAACTAGTGTGTTAAATTTGTTTAGATCGAAGCAGCGGACAAGCAGTTGCGAGCGACTCGTCGATTCCTGGATGAACAAGCGAGTGAACGCGAAATGGAACGAGATGAAGCCGCTAAACAAATTCGCTTTTTGCAAGGGCAACTGAAGGAACGCGAGCGCGAGAAAGAAAGAGACATGCGTATTAGTTCAGAGGTAACATTTTATTGAAAATACTATCAATATTTTATTGAAATAATTTTTTTGTTGTTTTATAAATGTGACGAACTTTTTGTTAAATACGAACACAATGATATGCTTCTTGTTATCACTCGCTAACTAACTTTAGAATATGTTGTCTAGAGCAGTATGTTTTAGTACAGCAGTTACTACACTAACCGGGAGATTTCAGTGAAATGGCATAATAATTGCCATCTATAATATTTAACTACAGATTTGTATGGCTCATGTAATAAATCTTTTAATCTTGGGTTTAAAAACTATCGAGAAAAAGGATCATTTGCTTGTGTAAAACATTTTAAAATATTACATACATTACTAGGTGTTTTTATTTTGATCAGCAAAGAGAGGAATCTCAATTTCCAATTAATTTATTCCGAAAACATAATGATAAAACTCGAATATAAATTGTAAAACTAAAAGTAATATTATTTTATATTTCACACTTTATATAATATATTGGCATCAATTAGTGTCACTCACCACTACTAATAGTAATAACACATTTTTCTGCACTCTGGTTTGGGTTTTCTGCTTGCGCACAAAGCAGTCTGAGCCTGAAACAACAGACATCCGTGAGCTTCAAACAACTGACACCATTGCAGCTGTGAGTGAGATTGTATATTTAATTTGACTGTTTTTACTTTTTGTACAATTCTTTTTGTGATATATGTATAGTGAGTAAAAAAATATTTTTATTAAATTGTTATCTAATGTATTGCGTATTTTTTGTTTACATATCATGATTTGGTTAATAGAGAAACAAAATGTACTCACTGCATTTAAATAAATTTATTTTGAATAAAAATACAAGTGAAAACACTTAAGAGAATAAAAGTGTAATGAAAAAGTTCAGACTAATTCAGTTAATAGAAGTTTGTTTTTTGTTTACTTTGTATATTAATTTTATTGAATACTTTATTTTATATATTTAACAATTATGTAGTTCATCTCCTTGTTATCATTAATTAATTATTATTCTTTTTTCTTTTTTTTACTCACTGTATATTAGTGTAAAATTATCATAAAGAAATATATATATATACTATGGTCTGGATGCTTCACATATTGGATCACGCTTGACTGTGGAATTGTAGGTGATATCTTGAAAAATCGATGCATTGATAATTTACACATATACATATATAATTTATGATTTAGGTGGAGGCTCTCGAGTCTCAGATGAGAGAGATGTCATCATTAATGTCCGATACAGAAGCAAAGAAATCAGAAAAAGAGAGTGAATTAAAGGTGGCAGTGGATAAAATATGGCTTTTACGAGATATTATTGCTGATTTAGAACAACAGTTGCAAGCTAAAACTGAAAAGGAGGAGTCGTTGCAAATACAAATTAGCCAGCTGGAAACTGTGATAACTGCGCAGACAAAGAATCAGCAAGAATTAGTTCAAGAACTAGATACTATCAAGTCCGGTAGCGAGAGTAGACATCTGAATGAACAGATTAATCATTTACAAGTAAGTGTCAGGTGAATGAATTTATAAATAAATAATACATAGACATTGGTTACAAGATAATTTTTTATGTTTTAGGAAGAACTGAACAAGCACAAGTTAAGTTCGGAACACTTCAATGTTAATTCGTCCGTTTTGAAGCAGATGAAGACAGAACTTCATGAGATGCAAAATCATTTAGACAAAAGAATTCGAGAATTAGAATCTGCACACATGTGCGCTTCGAATCTGAGCTTGAGTCAGCCGAGTGAAGACGTCTCGATCAGAGAACAAATCGACGCAGCAAGGTGTCTTACTCCAGACGATCCGTTCTCGCCACCTATGCTACCGCTAGACCAGGTGCTCAAGTTAAAAGACAAAATGCTGAAGCATGCACGAGCGGAAGATGTAGCCTTTAAGAGAATCAAAGATCTAGAGATGCAGTTGCAAGCAATAAAGAATCAAAATGAGGAATTATTGGCGGAACAAGAAATTCTACATCAAACGGCATCCGAACAATTGTTCCAAATCGAAGCGATGCGTGGTCGGTTGGAACAACACAAGCAAAGCGCTCCGTTTGCTCAAAAACAAGCAACATCTCGATTGGAGTTGCAGTTGCATGAAGCAACTACAAAATATCACTCTTTGGAACAAATCATTACAAACAAAGAAATTGAGATAAAGGAATTGAAAACTCAGCTTGAAAGGGCTAATCAAATGTTGGCAGAGAAAGAAACGGAAATGGAGAATCTTGTGGAATTGGAAAACAGCGCGTTGCAAAATCTGAAAGATCAGTTGAAGCTCATCCAGGAAGAAAAAAAAGTATTGCAAATGAAGCTTGGAATGCAAGAACATACTCAACTGGAATTGCCACAACTAATCGATACCATGTTAGCTGACAAAAACGAAGAGATTGACCATCTGAAGGAGCAGCTATCAAAAAAGGAAAGTCAGTTGAATGCCTATTCATCGCTCGTGTTAGACGACGTGCAATTGGGAGAATTAATAACAAAACAAACGGAGGCAAAAAATAGCGCGCGTACGTTGAGCGATATTCTCTCTATTCATTCCGAATGTGAAGAACCCGAAGCCATTCGTACAACTAACACAACGCAGATGACATCACACAACATCTCCAGTTTCAGATTACCAACGATAAAAAATACATTAAATACGAACAGTCTGAACACTGTCGAAACGGCTTTATTCGATGCAAACAAAATTGACACAGAAGTCCCACCATTAGATTTGGATTCGCACAGTCCCAGTAACGGTATTCATCACTCGGAAATAGATTTGCATCGTAGTGAATCGAAATTGTCGTCTTCTAAAAATAATGAAAATATCAGTGACGATTCTCATCGAACTGAAGAACTGCTTAATGATAAGCTAAAGGAAATTGAGAACAAGTATGAGTTGGAGTTAACTTCCTTACAGAATCAATATCAAAACTTGCAAGACGAATTCAAGGAAACAGTTGAAAACTTAATGCAAGATAAGAACTTCTACAAGAGCCAATATGAACTGGCTCTTGTATCAGAGAGTAAAATCAAGAAAGATCTGGAGGAAGTAGAAAACATTCTAAAGTTAAAAGAAATTGAACTCGATGATTATAAAGACAGAATCCAGGTGAACGAGAAGATTATTACCGAGTTGAATTCAGAGAATACGAAGCTGAAGAGAGAAGTAGAAATCAGAGAAAAGGATCAGATGAAGAAGAGTTCGTTATTACACGAGAGCGTGCAGGAACTGCAAAGATTCAAGGAACTTGTACTGGAGAAAGATATCGCATTAGAGACTTTGCAGACTCGCAATATTGAAATAGAAAATGAAAATAAACAATTATACGATTTCAAGACGAAGGTTTACTCGCGGGATCGTGAAATCATCGACATGCAAGACGAGATCCTGCGACTAAGAGACGGTCTGAACAATCGGGATCAAGTAATTTGTAAACTAGAAGAGATGGCGAGACAGACGAGTGACATTCAATCGGGAGCTTCGTCACCGTTATCTTCTAGCAACAAAGATCAAGAAATTCATCATCTGCAAGAGTTCCTAAAGGAGAAAGACAAAGTGATCAGACAGATGAGCGATGACAGCAAGAGTCTTCATCGAGCATTGGAGACCATTCAGAACAAAATGAAGGAATCGGGTAATGTGGTGGAGTTAAGAAGAAAATTGAAGGATGAGCGAAAACTGAACGAGGAATTAAGGGAAATGGTGCAGAGGTTGCAGAAAGAATTAGAGTTAAAGGATGTGTCTGCGCAACGCTCACAGGATGATAGTGATATCGAAGATATGGTCCAACGAGAATTAAATCTTTCCGCTAGACTAGATAAGCAACTTATGCAGGTTATTAAAACCGATTCGGGAGAAGTCACGGGAGGAAGAGAAGAGCATCGGATGAGATTAAATGAGATTCGTGATGACAACGAAGTACTGAGAAGACTGATGGATGAGCTAGAAATCGAACGAGACATCATGAAGAACAAGATCGTTGAGTACGAAAATCGTATCTTGCAACTGAAATCGGATTTGACAGAGAACATGAACAAGATAGTCAAGCTCGACAACGAACTCGCCTCAGAAAAAAACACGGTAAAGTACTTGAGGATGCAGATAGAGCAGCATCGTCAGATGACAGAAGCGGGACGTAGTCAGGATACCGAATTAATCGAATTCCTTCAGAAAAAGTTGAAAGATTCTCTCGAAAACGAGGAAAAGCTTCGTAATGATCTGACGTCGATGAGACAGCAACATATTAACCTGGATTCACAATTACTATCCATGAGAAAATTGATAGAAGCTCAAGCTGAAAACGCTAGTAAAAACTTATCGAACTTTGTTGCGCAAGATAAGTCAGAGAGGTAAGCGCGTTTGCCTTATTTAACGTTTATCTTTTTGCATTGTAAGAAACTTATTTTACAAAGAAATAACTTATTTTACAAGAATTGAAATTTATGTCAATAAGTAATTTTTTGAATTTTAATTTCTTTCTGCTTTTTTTTTCAATATTTTAAGTGAAAATACCGAAGAAGGACGTGAGAACATTGCAGAATTAAAAGAAACTATTAAAAGATTAGAGAACAAGATAAGTAAATACGAGAAACAATTAGAAATTGCGGACGAAGAACGGGAAAGTTTGATCAGCAGTTTAGAGTTAGCCAATGGAATGAAGGAAATCTTAGAGACGAATCTGCGAAGGACTGAAGAGGAGTTGAAAGCGCGTGAGGTGGAATTCGATTATCTGCAGAAACAAATAAAGATGATGAAAGATACTGAAAATAAGAAACAAGAGCAACGAGACGCTGAAGTAGTTGAGGTCAAAAATCTGCATAAGGAGATTAGCACTGCCCGAGATACCAGAACAGATTTGGAGACTGACATCAGTCTTACAAAGCAGGAATTTAAAAAGTATTCAGAACGAGAACTAAAGTTTTCGCGCGCAATAGAATCTTTGAAAGAAAGAGTAGCGGAACTCAATAAAGAACTGACAGTTTCGAAAGAAAAGGAAAGAAAAATGATAGAGTTAATTGAAAATCTGCAGACAAGAAGATTAAAAGGAGAAGAAGATATGAGAATGTTAAGTGCTAGAGATATCTCGAGTGTCATGCAGAAAAACAAAGAATTAATTGAGAAAATTGAAAAATACGGTGTCGAGAAAAATAATCTTGAAGATAAACTTGGTAGAATGCTACACGATAGGGACTTATTGATGCATCGTGTAAAGCAGCTTGAAGGACAGTTGATGAAACTAAAGACTACACAAATTTCAAGCCAACAGACAGTTTCTTTCGAAAGGGTATATTATGATTATGATAACTAAACTTTTCAATGCGATTTAAAGTTTTTTCTTGCGTAGTTTAATGAATTCTTTTAACTGTTTTGTGATAAGGGTGTACATTTTATTTTGCTTTCTAGTTGCAAACTTTTTATGGCAAATATTTACGTGTGGATAGCAGAAGAAGAGCATTGGCGTATCAGAAGAAGTATTTACTGTGCATCGTCGGTAGTTATCAGTATTGTGAAGAGAATACACTATGGGTGCTCGCACAATTGACTCGAGATCAACGTTCTTACACGCGGCAGTCGCGTAGTAAAAAAGTGCGCTTTAGAATTGTCGTATTCACGATAATTAGTATACGAAGGATGAAATGGTTGATTCAACGTTGGCGAACAGGAAAACGCGCCGGTGCTAACGCTATCATGGGTAGTATCGAACAATTAATCGATTTGTCGCCTATCAGAAATACAGCATCAAATCATTCTCCACCTGTCAGAGAAAGAACATTGAAGTAAGTACGTGCGATTACTAAATTGTTATTCTATATCATGCAATATAAAGAAAAATCAATAAATAACAACAAATTGTAGTTTTAGTGGAGGTAATGAGGGACGGAGCAGTTTTATGGAACAGTATTATCCAGAACTAAGAAATTCTCAAGATATATGCGATTCCGTTATGCCGGAGTCTGGCTCTAGTCATTATATCCCGGAATAACAGTATCTGTATACTTTTAGTATCTGTAAAAGTTTAACTGTACAGTGTTAGTATTACGAATATCGCATAATTGTTTGAACGATGCATAGTATAAATCGTGTTTTTTAAACTGACTTAGTAAATTCCGTAGATAATTTTTAAGTTTTTTAAACACTAGAGAACACGTAACATTGATTGGTCTTTTTATCTGTGAACTTTCTAAATTTTTTAAAATATATTGAAAAAATCAAGTTTTTATTTGCGTTTTATATAGATATTTATAATTTTTTTTTTTTTTTAATTTATTTATTTTATAGAAGTTGCGAATATATGAGTTTTGTTTTTTCTTAGATTTATACATGTATCTTTATCATTTTTTGTGTGTCAAAAACAATCGTATTACATATTCTTTCCTGTTTAACAAACACGTTCTGTGTTTTGTACTAAATTGCTGCAGTCGTCGATGAACGATATGCATGGGATTTCTATTTTCGTTCGACTGCACGAACGGTTTACGTCACATTAATCCTTAATGATTAATGAAGAAAATGTGAAGCTCGTCAGCTCGACCGGAAATAATTAAAACTGGGCATTTACGCGGACCTAATAGATTGCTGACTTTTTATACTATTAATGTTATCTCGCTATATGTGAGACTGGTTTGACCTCTTATTGATCATGATGACGTAGTTTTGAAGTGTCATATACAAAATTGTAAAGCGTTATATACCAGATGTCATTAATAAGTGAGAAAGTGAAATGTGTGCATGTAAGATAGGTTTCAATATTGTAAATTACACAAAAATCAATTGTTACCAAAATAAAAGCACTCTGAAAACAAAAATTATAAACGTTAAATCAGATTGCTTTTAATATTGCGTAAGTTATATATGTATTGTAAGGTAGTATAAATATGTGAATCTGCGTGCCTTTGTGCGTCTAAAAGCGCATTTATTATTTATTTATCAATAGACAAAAAAGTCATAAGGCTTTTTATATATCTCGATTTGCATTTAATGTGAACATTTTCTGAAAATTCTATAATAAAAAAAATCTTTTAATATGTGCAATTTACTATTGCTTCTTGAATATTGTAACTTGTAAGTATACAAACCACAACATGAACAAATTGATTATAGATTCTTCAAGTTGAATGAATTTTTATAAAATATAATGAATAATGAAGTTTATTTTATCGTGAATGATATGTGTATCTCTTTGTAGTAATAATTAGGAAGAAAATATGCAATAGCATTTTGTACGTATGTATATTTATTGAATACTATGATATGTATTTACATATGTACAATAGTGTGTGATAAAATATATAATAATCGACTAATCGGTTTATTATATATAGTGCTCTATCGTTTCTTGATTTATTTAAAAAGATACGTTAATTTAAAAGTTTAGAAATGTAATCTATAAAGAGATAAGGCTTGCTTCGTGTTAAAATGCCAACTTATGCACTTGTTGTTTAGATTTTTTTAATTTTTGGATAATTTTATGGTTTCTGATATGTGTGCGTTGATATAGCGAAATGTGAAAAATCTGAGCCGCAAATATCTCATTGAATATGGTAAACAGATAGTTTCACATATGATCGTTGTAATAGCAGACTAAAAGTAGAATACTTTCCTGTATTTTTTTTCTTTTTTTTTTGTTTTAAGGCAAAAAACTGCATTTCTGTCATGCATAATATAAGAAAAATTTAGTAGGAAAATTTCTTAAAGGATTTCTTTAGTTATGATGTGTCTTTTCACAATATATTCTTTTATATAATATTCATAATTACTTTCACAGCGACTTATTACCTTATTTATAATGCGTATAATGCAAGTCGAAATGTTTGATCCGTTTAAATATGTAGACTTGTTTTTCTATCAAAATAATATGTATATATAGATGAATTAAAAAGAACTGAGATAAGAATTTATTTTGATGAGAACACGAACGCTTCTATAGACTATCTAACTCTTTCCATATCTTTTTATAGGGCTCTTTTATTCATCAATTTATATTCCTAGACGGATCCATTTCGGATTAAGGAAAGATTAATTCCCGATCTAAAATTAAATCATCAGTTAATTTTTTTCTTTATGTAATATATATATAGTTAAATAGTACGTGCTTCTGTATATAGTATATTAAGAGTGAAAATGGATTAAAAAGAAATATTCAAAAACCGTTGAAACCTCTTATAATTCTAACTTTGAAGGTAAATTTTCTATTACAAAAAGATGATCTTCTCTCAATTCCTTTTAACTCGTCGATTTCTGCAGAATCCTTTGAATTGATTAATTTCAACGGATCTTGTGATTCGAACAGGCATCTTTAAAATTCGTCGCGTTGAACGGCACGAAATAATCATCATGCAGTTGTCTGACAATGTTCTCTATCGGACACAGTTTGATGCTTTTTTTTCCTGTCTGTTCATCGCCAAAATAGCTATTGGCATTTCTGCAGAACGGAATTCTCGGCGTGACGTCCCGGCCGTTGGCGACAACGCGGAAATAGAAGTCGCTGGCGAGGCGATTGTCGTTCCGCGAATTGATCTTATAGATCTCGATGATGAGTCGGGAAGCGTAATATGTCGCCACATCCGGCACGATGCCGAACGCCGTGGCGAGATACTCCAGGGACTTGTCGTGGCCGGAGTAAAGAGCAATCTTCGGCCGGGCTTCAGAGATGACGCGCAACATAAAGTTAACGATACTGCGTAGCATCCCGTAAGCCTTTAGCAACCCGTATTTATTGTGACTGTTGCTCTTGGCGATCTGTTTGGATTGCCAGTCTGTATAAGCGAAGAGCCCGGTTACATGTTCGCTTTTCACGCATATTCGCTGCGAGTCGAGTTCTGCACATGGTAGCGGAGCACCGTGGCATACGTATGTCAACAGCGCGTCCCTCAGCGTGTTTGGATCGCACGTTTGCGCCTGATCCGGAAGTTCAAACACGGCGCTCGCTGCCTGTCTGATTAGCTCACCGATGGCCGGATGAGATTTCAGATGATTCGAGGTCTCCTGGAAAAAGATAACAATGCTATGTTAGCGAGACATTGTCGATTTTGTTATAAACAAATCATAATAACAAATATAAATTTAGAATCATTATTGATCTTTTTCTATCTTTTAACGTGCCAAATTGAAAAGTAAAAACTGCATCACGAAAAATAGATTTGCTCGAGCGGAAAGAGAAAATTAACGACTTCTATATATTAATGAGTTTTTGTGCTGACTTGTATAGTTTTTACAAACGTCAAAAATTGCAATTAATTTGTGATTTTATATAACTTCAGCAGAGTAGTAAGATATGTATATTGTCTGAATAAATTTTATAATGTACTCACATCTCTCGAGACTATTTCTCAGTTTTTTCAATAAGAAAAAAAAAACTATAATTAAAATATATTGCACATAAAAGAAAATTGAAAAAGATAAAGAAAGAGAAAAAAAGAAATAGAATGATCGCCGAATTAGTAAGTTTGCACGCTTAATGTAACCCGTTTATAAAGCGGAACAAAAGAAGTGTTATTTTTTTGTTAGTTAAAAACTGTAATTATATCCTCTTTAACATTTATCTTATGTGGTACGTTGCCACATGCCGCGTGTACGAACGCGTGAAGACAAGACTTATTTTCGTCGCAAGAATTATTATCGCTCGCGAATATTTTATTCAGATAACACGCTGAAAAATTCAGCATCACGCCTGGCAGTCTAGAATGACCTACATAATTTTATTGGATTTCCTGAGAAAATAAGGAGAAGAGCGCGATGTTGATGCAGATTATTTAACATGTTTCCGAGAAACTGAAATAGGATTTCATTAAAACTTCCTTATAGCTAAGAGACAGGAATATGACGAAAAATACATGTTATTTTATTGGATCTTTCTTAATAAGAACGAAAGAGCAATATTAATGCAAATTTATTTTATATGTGTATATATATACATGTATATGTATATACATATATAAGGATGCAGCAATGTGAGAAAAAAATTTCGAAAATATATAAATTAAAATTTATTTGCATAATTATTTATTAAAAAATTATATATCTTTAAAATTCTTATAAAATTATATGTCTTTAAAATTCTCATAAAATACTCATTTTATTATACTATTACAATTTTACTTTTTATAGTATACTGAGATTTTACATACATATATAGATATTTTACGAGTGCAATGATTTATCATTTCTTTGTAAAAATATGTACGAGCTGTTCGCCGTATATTATTTATATTCATATTATTTATATTCACATAATTAAAGTCTGCGCGTATTACCTTCAAATGCTGCTTCAAGAATTTTTCCGTCGCAGGACAGGCGCATTCGTTATTGCAGAATGTGTAACTTTGGCTTTCCTGCAGACTGATCCTCACCAAGTTCTGAAAACCGTCGTTCTCAAAAAATGCGTAGAGCAAAGCGATCACGCTTTGCACAGTCCTGCGGTAGGATGTGCTATAAACAATGACATCTTTGTTGTAGGTGGTGCCGTTGCCGAGATTAAGCTTGTGATAATACGCGTTTCTCAGGAGAATCCCGGTTTTCAACAGCTGCAGGACGCCGAGCGTGGTCAACTGACCGATTTTACAGTCGCGTGTGTTTGTCGGTAGTATAGGCATACCGTGAAACGGACCCAGAAATTGAGCCCACGCAGTTCTCGAGTAGCTGGATACATTTTGTACTAAATTGACATAATTCTCGTACATGGTTTCCAACTCTGTAGCACCGCCGAAATCACCGCCACAGTTTACGCTGCTTATGTTTCGTATATGAGTTAGAGGTCCTCTGTCTCCGTGGCGGATGAAGATTAGGATGCCGCCCAGTGTCAAGTTGCCCTCGACTTTTCCTATTTTGACGAAAACACACAGCGCATAGAGCCATATATATAGTATAATTGGTTATTTTGAGAAAAAAAAAAGAATAATTTATACATAATAGGTTTCTCACTTTTTTAAATAAGATTATAAATAACGTATTTAATCTTCAGCGTATGTTTTTTGTTATTAATTAACATCATAACTGTATGTATGTTTGCGATCAACTATATATATATTTATGTATTATCTATTACAATTGTGCGATTATCCTGTCTGCAAAAGAACTTACTAATGTGATTTAGGCACACTGTGATATTGACATATTTAATGATATAATTTCTATTTATTGTTGCCTCTCGCGCGCGTAAAAGTAATTATTGTACAATAAAATATTTCCTATTTTGAAACAAACAAACACACGTAAAATTGTAAATATGAACATAATTGCAAAACATACCTTCGGCTTCTGCGGTTATCTCGTGCGGCAAATTACAAAACCGAAAGATCTTCTTTGTCTTTGCGTCAGACTTTAAATTTCTTGGAAATTCTCGAAGTGACAAATCATTATTTAAGATTCTCGTTTGTATAGAAGTTCTCTCATCTACGCCGATATATTTGTACATACCTATATAATAAAAAAATTATTTATAAATCTCTTACTTGTCAAATAGATAAGAGTTGTATATTTTGATAAAATTTTCTACATTATTGCATGTATATTTTATAATTATTATATCCGACAATAATTTAAAAAATAAGTATCTATTTTAATATATTTAACGTAATAAATTTTTAATCTAACAAAAGATTTTGTCAGTTTAGAAACCTAACTTATATCTAAAATTGTTTAAAAAAAGAACATAAAACGCTTTATTACTTTTCATTATAAAAATAATTGAAATTCTATCACAAGTATGAAATTAGTCCTTATGGATTTGTGTCGATGAATCTCTTTCTATAGCCGATTGCGTTGTCAAAGCAATTGCACTGAAAAAACAGTTTTGTTGAGATTACCAAATTTTGGTAATCTCAACCAACATTTAGTTTCCAGAACACTTTATTTGGTTTAATTTAACAAATTTTTGTTATCTCAACAAAACTGTTTTTTCAGTGTGATTATTTCCTTTATTTTATGAGAAAAAAAAATCAAAATAGTCACTAATTTGATAACACATGATGACGTTCATCTATCTAATTCTTTATTGGAAAACTAGCGTTCTATTTATATACTTCTGTTATTAAATCTAAGATAGTGTAACATGTGACACACACAAGCGTTCGATTGATTATCGATGACAAATATCCTTTATATGTAGAGAAAATCCTCTATATGTAGAATAAACATTAAGAAACAAAATATGGTGGTATTGATATTGAATTATTTCCAAATTTGTAATAATGTATTGACAATCGAGTATAAAATATAAATTATTTCCTGCAATGTGTTTGCAAAATTTTATCTAATTTTAATAAGCTCAATTTTTTGTACTATTAAAACGATAAGACATATCTTATGTTAATTTGTACTTTTTTATGTTATAAATAAACATAAATTAAATTATTTTTGCTTAGCATTTCTCCGAATTATCATAAAAATTGTATTGATTTTTTTTATAAGTTTTGGTCTTTCTTTTCTATGCAGAAACATAAAACTCATTCATCGCAGCAGTCAGCACAAAATGAGCGATCACGAGGTTTCGTTTACCAGCGACCAGCAGGAAGATCCATACGCTCAGAATTACGTAGCAGTAGAACGCTCGGTGCTGATGGGACAACATCGCGAGCATTCCTCGGCGCTCGAGCAGCAGCTGCGACATCGTCGTATTCCGGGCCCCGTGGGACCGATTCGCAGAACAGAGAAGAGCGACAGTTGTTAGACTTGTCTTCAAGACGATGACGACGACGACGACGACGATGACGAAGACTACGCGCGACAACGCGGCGAGGACGCGACTGGATTTCCGTCCCGCTCGAAGCCGATCGAAGCTGCATCTTCTTCTTCAAACGTCCATCGACCACGCTTTCCGCATATTTGTCGGCGGTCTGGCGACGCACCTGCTTGCGTGCCTGATTCGTGTAACTGCGACAACCGCAAACCGAGTTGCCAAAGAGGAATCGCTGCCGACTTGGCTGCACATTCGCTCGAGATGGAACTGCCGGCCTGTATCCTGACATGGCGATAACGGAGGGTGGTGGGTTTCTTCTCGGGCGCAGGCGCCAATACTCGCAATCACCCTCCACTCTGAAGAGTCGGCTAAAGTTCTCCGCGACGCGAGGCTACAGAGAGGCTTTCCCGTAACGTTTATCGACCTTCCTTTATCTGCGCGGCAATCAAACGAAGAGCGCGATCAGCAAAAGCCGGTCGCGGTTATATCCCGCTTTCTGTTGAAAAAGCTATTTCTCGTCTCTCACGTAGCGAGATATTAAAAATAGATCTGCGGATATATATATATATAGTAATGAGCTTTCTCTGACAATTACTGATCGATCCTCAGCGAGAAACGAGAGTGACTGACGGATTATTCGGCATTCTGCATCTGACCGACTTTTACGGAAGCGCGCAAGTTGAATGTTTTTTGGATGTGTGTGTATGTGCATATCTCTCTCTTTTAATATATAAAATCCGCGCTGATTCGATGTGAGTCACAGCAAATTTATTTTGTAACTTTTTTTTGCCAATTATTCTGCGAAACTTGCAATCTTAGCTATTACTTGAGACAAAACTTGCACAGAATAATAAAAAAGATAAAATCTGCATAATTTCTACAAAAATATGAGAACTAAACAATTACACATCGAACTTTTAAGTATAGTAAAGAATATTTCTGACATTTCAATTCTAAACCCACACAAAACAAAACCATTAGATATCTCATGGAGTTGTGTTGACGTCTAATGGACATCTAATGGAATTCTAGTTCTGTGCGGGAAGATGTATATAATTCTATTTTCAATAAACAGGCACAACAGCCGCGATCACATATCACAAGAATTGTAATCATATGTGTCCGTTAGCTCTGATTAGTTTAGCTTTCGTAATTAACCAGTTTCTGAGTACCTCTAATTGACGTTAATTACAATTCAAGCGAGATTCCGTAGCATCCGCATTTTAACATCGGCGATTGAACTCACCACGATTACATTATTCGATTTGATCGCAAGTTGGAACTCCAACAAGTGTTATCAAGCAAATAATCATGAAAAGCAAGGTTCGACGATGAGACGCAACGGCGAGGAAAGCGGATGCTGATGTCACCGGCACGGCTTTGCACTCTCGGCCCAGTCAATAAATATATTCCGTTTAAGACTGATGGTTAGATTGTCCCGCAGTTGATGGTTAGTCTCGAGTTCTCATATCAGAACAGTTGTCGCGCTCGAGTTATATCGCATCGGCGCGATTGCACGCGAGTAATCATGCCTGTCTACACTAACACCGTCGCGTCGCACCGTCGGCGACTGTCATTGGTAATTGAACGCCCTCGCGACATTGTAAACTTAAACGGTCTCCAGACGAGTAATATTTTTTGTTAATAAGAGTCCTACTGTAAAAATGACGTATTTTATAGTAAAGAGATAATAAGAAAATATCTTAAATAACTACATCGGAAACTGATCAAAAAACAGACACTAGGATTTACATTATAAAGACACTTTGTTCATTAACTAACATGTAAATGTGTGTATAGTTAGAGACGATTAAACATGTAATTATAAATTGTCTAATATAATTGTTAAATCGCTCCAATAGCTGCCTTGGCATTGAAATGATCGCCAATTCTCTTAGTTTAGATCTCTTAGTATTTCTAACGCCAACAACTGATGGTAAGAGAACATCCGGTAGTGATATAATATATCGCGTGCATTATCGCAAAGACTAAACTTTAACAAGCTGTACATCAGCCACTGTGCGACATTTCTAGACGCATATAACATGTCGCCGTACTCATCTTATCATCTTATTATCAATCACATTTTTACTTTGTATCGCTTGTTATGTTTGAAATATTTGAACAGACTTTGAAGTTTATAATCATTGTATAATTATTCTATTATTGCTCAATCGCGCAATTAAAACATATTTTTTTTATCAGTCTGACATTTTCGAGAGTCGTCTGCGCAAGCATAAGCGATCCCTCTCGTTATCATTATCATTATCATCTACCCGCGTGCCTGATCTCGTAGCCTTGGCAAGATCATTGCCACCGTTACGATTGTACGGATTGTCATTGCGGTAATGATAACGAGCACCTCCGTTACGGGATGCTCTGTACAATCAAGATCTTCGGATTCCTAACGCACTTGCTGCATAGGCTGTTCGATTGACAATATAATTATCGAGCATTGCAAATCAAATTATAATTTGCTCTTTTTTCACAATACAATAATTAAAGCTATATTTATTATGCGACATTTCTATATGTTAAGTTCTATATGTGCAAAAGTTGTCTATAAAAAAACACGAGTCTTTGTCTTCTACATTATTGTTTATAGATACATAATATTATAATAATTAATACTAATATATTTTCACAGTATACTTTGTTTTTGTTTTACATACTAATTGTAAAATTACGAGTTATAAAATTATTAGTCACTCAGAAATTCTATCTAAGAGAAAAATATAAATATTTAAATAAATATATAGTATATTACCAGCTTACAGCTTTAATATAATAAGATTACAATTTTATTCATAATCGATAGATGTTTACTTTTATTGAAATGACTGATTGTGAAATATAAGTAAACGAAAGCAAGTGCGTCTGAAACTAAATTAGACTATGATAAAAATCAAATTATTTTTTCAAGGTTGTAGCCATAAAGATTTTTTATTAAAAAGAAATTACGTGCTTTGCATAGCACAACATCTTGGTAAACTTATTCTTTAGACTTTGTCTAACATATTGATAAGTCGTGCGGCGTAAAAGAAGAAAAAGATTTGGTATGTAGTATAACCTGTTTCGAAACCATTATTTTGTCCATCTTATACACGAGGGATGAATTTTTTACCTGCACAGGTATGAGATTCAAAGACGCACAATAGCATAAGCAGATCAGGATATTTTCAGAAGCACTTCTGCGTACATCTACCATATATTTATTGCAGAAAAGAGTTTAATTTTATTACCAAAAATAAATTCCTTATTACAATAGATATTATAGCAACGTTGTAAAAAATTTTGTTATTACATATTTGTGATGGTTACAATCATCTGAAAGCATTTCTAGGTCTTTCCAAAATAATATATTTGTATATATGTATATATATATTTAAGATTTATAAAAAGAAATGTGCTCTTAAATTTTTTAAATAACACAAAAATATTTACATATTATATTTTTTTATCCGATATTTCTGATTATCAATCTCAGGAGCACTTGTAGCGCATAATAGTATAGTAAACAACTATATTCTTAAACTAATTATGAAAAAAATCTCTTATTTTTTATTAAGTAAATTTCCAACGTGTGTCGTTAACAAAGAAAACAAAATAATACGTCAAATAACTTAATAATAATAAATTACGTTAAACCGTGACGCTAACTAAATTTCCGAAGAAGTTTTCTGCAAGCCAGAAAATCCGCGGATATCGTTATCGCGGAACGATCGAGTCGATCAAGCGCGAGAACGTGACGTAAAAGGAAACGCAGATCGTCGGGTGTAGTAAATGCGCTGCGGTGGCTGGTTTCTGGAGAGTTTTATCGCTCTCGTTGCAATCTGCAGGGGTGGAAGGTCAGCTTCAAGTGCCTTGACGTCTTGGAAAGATAATAAGATGTATTTACGGTGTCAACCACATTCTTTGTTTCCGCCCAATGCGAGCACAATCCGTTATCATCGTCGAGCTCACGCGCTCGATATTAGCTGGCTGGCTGTCGTCGAAAATTGTGTATTATATGTATTTAACAAACTATCTCGAATGTTTTGAATGCTATTTTAACGCGATATGTTGTCTTACCACAAATTAAAAAAATAAGGTCAGCGAACAAAAAACAATGCTCCTATTTAGAATTGTACTTTCTTATTAACATTGAGTTAAGTTAAGGACAAATTAATAGTTTGTTAAATATAACGCGTGTACATTTTTAACTACACGAATAATACTCGTATTACTTTTGTCAAATGATATATTAACGTTTATAAGGAGTATTAAATAGGACTTTTTACCTACTTGTTTCTTCTTAATTCAGAAATACACGTATGAATATTAAAGCCACATTTGTGTTTCAAATCAGATTATGAAAATCTAATTAAATATTCAGTTTTTTAAGAGTTTTAATCATACATTTGGACAATTGTTTTTAACTTAACTTGTTTCACAAAAACAACTTTTTAACGGAGAGAAACAAGTTTAATATACATTGTAAACTTAATCATTTCAGTGACGTTAAGACGTAATCCAAACTACGAATTTCGCGTTTTGTGCGTGATAGGGTATTATTTTTCATGATATCAGTCAATGTAAATACCAGTTGTATGCGTAAACACGTGCTGTGCGCTACCATCGTAATAAAGACCGCAAATCGATTACGATCTATTACGTAAATTAATGAAAGCGACGTTTAATCGTGTGGTCTTTTGTGACACTTTTCAGAACGCAACAACTAGTTTATGTGAATTCTTCACATAAACGATCACGCGTGTGATTGGCCAGCGAGGAAGTGTCAAACTAGATAGCGCACGGCCACATTCATTACTTCCGTTTTACCACGGATGCTCTACGCTCGATGCGTTTGAGTTGTATTGTCGAGAGAAGATCAACTTATCCTCACGATATACTGGATAATTTATCAGATCAGCTATATCCTTCATTTCTTTCTTTCTCTTTCTCTCTCTCTCTCTCTCTCTCGGCTACAAATAAATAAATGTTTTCTTTATTATTGTAATTGCTATTATATTGAAAAAATCTAAATCAAATAACGCAACATGAAATATTCATTATCTCAAATTGACAACATCACAAATGTAAAACCTGAGTGTAATCACATTATTTTATTTGTTTATCAGTGAAATTTTTATTTATCGAGAAAAATAGAACATTTTTTTAAATTGCTCTAAAAATACAGAAAATATATATACATAATAGTTATAAAAGCTATTCAATTTTACCATATTTCTTTACTAAAAACAAAGAAAAAATCAAGATTTGTTTAAGATACAATAGAACGATAGCCTCGGAATTATTTGGAAATTATCAGTGATAAATTTTTCGACGTATCTTTTGAACGCTGATTGATTTTTCGCAAGCGATCAGTATCTCATAGAGTGGTGAGTGGTAGAACGGAGAGGATTGGAGCACGGACGAGAGTATAAGCGGGTACGAACGGAATCTCGAGCGGCACGTCGAGCAGTTTGAATCCCGCTTCCTTGCGACAACGTTCGACCAGCTCTTTTCTGTTGGCCTCGTTTGAATTTCGATCGTCGATCATGACACGCGAACGGACGAAGACGTGCAGGTGAAAGACGTGCCGCGCTTCCTGACCTATCAGTTCGACAGAACACGAGAGAGACACGCGAAAAAGTGTTACCGTAAAAATAAAATAAAAAAATAAAAGTTTTCTTAGTTTAAATTTTGTCGTATTTTAATAGATGGTGATAAAGTGTGTGAGTTTGTTGAGGTTTTAAGGTTCTTTCAATTGAATTGAGAAGCAAGGTAATTATCATTAGCTGATTGATGATTACATATGGAGAATAAATATTGATTTTGCATTTCCGCGATTGAAAATGCATACGGATAAATTGTAAACTCTTCTCTTATGCTTTCTCTTTCCGGATTCTGCGCTGAACTCTTTACTCTTTTTATTAATTTTTTTCGTTTAAATATATGTATGCACATATAGAAAAGAAAATATTTTTTGCATAAAACATTAATTTTTTAATTTTTATAAATATATTTTTAGTTCTTTTGCAACGTAAATAATAATAAAAAACAAAGTATTTTTAACTTAAATAAATAAAAGTATTTACTTATATATATAGCATTAATATTTAATGAAATAACAGTTTACGCACTTTATAGCACTTCCTTGTTTTTAATTATATAATTACGTGTTTTTATTTCTTTTGAAATTTATGTGATAAAATCTATATACTCTCGCTTTTTGAAGAGAGAAAGTAGAATAGAAATAATCGTAGAAAGTACAGGAAAGGAAAACGCAGAAAGTCTTATTGTAAGATAATTAATAAAACGCAATTAATCTCTCTCTCTCTCTCTCTCTTTCTCTCTCTCTCTCTCTCTCTCTCTCTCTCTCTCTCTCTCNTCTCTCTCTCTCTCTCTCTCTCTCTCTCTCTCTCTCTCTCGTACGAGTCTTTTTGTACTCTCGGTAATGGTGGCGCTTAAGTAACTCATAATGTCCATTACAAACAGCCCGTAACGTTTGTTAGAAATTACACAACACGGCAGGGCTGTATTCTTGATGCAACCGGAAGGAAAAATATTCGATTTTGCATGCTTAATCTTAATAATATTAACTCGATAATCATTAAATTAATTTTCAACTCTATGGTTTGCAAAAACACTATTACATTTTATATTTTATAAAGATAAATCAAAGAGTTCAGAACGGCGAAAAATCTGTCACGTTTTATAGAATTGCATTATCAAGTTTAGAGGGCTAACGATTGCAAGTACGAAGCTCGCGTACTTCCTTGTTAAAACGACTGTAATCACGGAAGAATGCTCGGTGAGTGCTCGCGGTGTAAATAGGAAGCGCTTTTGTTACTAGGATTATGTTATGCCCACGCAGTTTGGTGCAAGACTTAGTCATCGTTTACCGGCTGCGTTACAAGCAGCCCTCTGTCGCCGACTCGCTTTCGTATTAACTCACTGCCTCGAAGCCACTTATTATCTTATTAAGGGCTATTGTACCGTTCCTAAACAATAAAGTAAGGGACAACTCTATGATGGGAAACGTCACTTTGAGAATACGTAGAAGTTGGACTTTCTAAAAGCGGCAGTGTGCACATCGCAGAATGCGTAAAATTAAAATCTCGCCGAGTCAAGGATACACGAAACAGAGAATTTACAGGAAATCTATAAATCTTCTATCAAAATCTTTGCAATAAACTTATTTTCTTTTTATTGGTTTTTTTGTAATACTATTTGTGTTATTATATAAAGTTTTTCAAAACTTGTGTTATTATATAAAGTTTCTCAAAACTTGTGTTATTATATAAAGTTTCTCAAAACTTTCTAAAATCTTCAGTTGAAACACATATCGCGAGATTATAATTAGATTAGTGTACTGTAAGTTTATTAAAACTATGATCGATGTAATTGTTAGAGTTGTTTTATAATGTCACGTGTCTGCTTAACAAGGCATCCAAATGTGAAGTAATCGGGAAATGGTAGTTGCCATTTGCAAATGCGGACTCCACGTTAAGTGACAAATAACACATTTACGTCACGTATTATCTTATTCCGGTCGCAAACTGTATGTCGTAACGCTGAGCCGAAGCAGTTCGGACTCACAGAGAAAAAGTATCGCTCTCCAACAACGGGTCAATCAACTGCGCGCTGTTGTGACATGTTCCTTGAACATCCCCGTTCCCGTAACAAATTGTTGACCTCGGAGGGTCGGTAGGGAATTGCACATTACTGACGCATCGGCAAATACGTACATGCAAGGGGACACGCTGATGTTCGCGAGGGCCTTCGTCGATCTGTTTTCGTCGAAAAAATTACCGGAGAGAGAGAGAGAGAGAGAGAGAGAGGAAGAAAGAGAGACAGAAAAACCTCTATAAAAATGTCTTGCAAAACTTTCAATATTGATTTAAATAAATTATTTATACATACACTCCAAATTAAGTTTCTGATTAAATCTACGATCTTTCTGACGAACTTTTAATACAAAATATTCAAAATATACTGTAATTACAGTGCGTATATTATCATATTTAAACACAATCACGGCAAATATCTTAAGCGCAATTAACTCTGTTTCTTTGCTAGATTATCGATAGTTACGAACTTATGCTCTCACGAGCGCACACACGCATAAGAATTCATTCCTCTCCGTAACCGCGCAGATCTGGCGAATAACATTTTTGAACGCCTTGGCAATACGCGTATGGACCAAAAGATATACTTATGCAATCTGTTTAAAGGAAAGTAACCGCGCGCGGGTGTTGAATAAAGAGAGAGGCGATTGTCCGGCCCATCGCGTGCGCCGACGTCGCCAGTCGATCCTCCGTAACCGATAAATTAAACACTCCGCAGATATCTCTTCCGGTTTGAAAGCATGCGGCTGCGCGCGCCGACAGTAGCCGGTCGTTTCGACGGAAGAAATCGAGCGAACGATCCAGAGACTACTATAGCGCATTGCACTGCGTTGCACTCGACATGAAAATGTCATGTCTCATTACTCAATTCGATAATAATTCAAGTTGATGAGTCAAATCATATTCTCGACGTACGGTGACTTCGGTTTTATTTTCGCCATAAGGAGACCTTTGTCCCGCAAATTTTGGTTTGATTATTTGAAAAAACATATCAAATGCAAAAGATAATTTTATATTACATAGAATTTTAATTCTAATCTCTTTTAACGTATTATTATTTTTGTATATATTTAAGTTGAAGAAGATTGCAACAAAATCTGACGTTCTCTTAGCAGCAACGATCTTTTCGATGTCACTATTTACAATTAAAATATATAAAATATTTACATCAATATTTACACCAAGTTCACAAACATTTTACATTCTGTTATACAACCCAGACTTGTAAATATTTACTTTTTTACAAGTAGTCCGTCTTTCTAATAACGTACATTAATGAAGAAGTTATTTTTAACTAAACAAATTAGTAAGAAAATAACTGGTTCAAAACACATAAGATACATAATGATTTAAAAACTAAAAATATTATATAAAAAATAATACATAAGTCCCATAAAGATAAAACCACAAAAAAGAATGTCAAGAGGAAATTGTTAAATGTTGACAAGTCAATATCCACTCTAACGTCCAAAATATGCTTCTAATAATCAAACAATTGAAAGATTGCGTAAAGAAATAAAAGTCATGCTTATGGTTAGTCTTAAAAAATCAAGAACTTGACATCTCGAAACATACTCTGAAAAATAATTTTAATAAAAATTAAGTTACAAAAAACTGATTACCTTTTTAAAAAGATATACGGTATGAAACTATTTTCATTTTATATAATTTTTTTCTCGTTTTCCTTGACTTTATTTTCTATGCTTTTGTAGGGTCTAGACTTTATATTTGTTTGATTTTACAGACTGATAGTGATCATACACGCGTATTGCGTATTATAGATTTATGTCACGGTAATAAAGTTCATCAAGTGTGTAGAGAGTAGCATCATTCACTCTCGCGTGTGAAGCAACCGGAGCGTCAATTTTTTTCTTAGCAAGTACAAGTGCCTCTGAAAGAATTTTTTTTTGCGCCAAGATAAGGCGATTAAAGATTCGCTTATTATGCTATTATCCTGAAGTGAGACTCTTAATGAAGTGCTTGATAAATATCTTTATAATTATATCACTGTCCTAAATAATAATGATGATGATGATGATAATAATAATAATAATAATAATAATAATAATAATAATAATAATAATAGTAATAATATTACTATATTGATAAACAAAATATTCTTTTTCTCTCTTTGTTATTACTACCATAAACATTATTTTCATTAATTTTTTATAAATACATTTATGATGTGGAATATAAATTTCAAACTTAACACTATTATCAAAAAATGTGAATATATATATTATAGAAATAAATACAAGAAAAGGACTGAATAGAGCTACTTGTAGTTCTTAATGAGTAATTATTATTTATTGAATTTATTTTCTCAATATCAGACGCATCTTTCTCTAGCTTTAGATCTTTACAATATCTATATTATAATAAAATATATTATTTGGATTAGATAGTTGAGAGTCTTATTTTATTTAAATACACAGAGTTTTATATATTTTTTTCTTTAATTTACACAATTGTATGTATTTTTTTATGTTTTATAAATAATAGTTTATAATATATTTAAAAAAATATATTTTTAAATAACGAGAGAAGTTACAATATATATTAATTAAATAACATACCAAACTTGTAACTGACGATAAAAGATTTTAACAATATGTATAAAGTAATATGTATTTACACAAATTGGCATAAATGTGTTACTTTTTCGAAAATTGGTGTACAACACAAAGCTTCCAAATATATGTCAGTTTGAAGTATCAATAAACATTACTTGTCACACAGTAATCCATGACGTTATAGATGCTCTAGACCGTGCACCAGTATTTTGTCGCGTCCGCGTGCTCACAATAACGCACTTTATAGAAATATGCTCAACATACGCTAGTAGATTATAAAAGCTTGATTTACGTACGCCGTTTTAAGAAACGCAGCCTAACCTTGTCCTAATTCCCTTTCCGTAGCGATCATTTGCAATGATGGACGAGCCATACGGTTTTGCAACAGTTCACGGCTTTAAAGAAAAAAAGATCAAGCTGTATAACATTGTCACGCGCGTAACCCTTTCGCTGTCAAAGAACAACGAGATAAATAAAAGAGAGAGAGAGAGAGAGAGAGAGAGAGAGAGAGAGAGAGTTAACGGAACGTGTATATTTATAATATAGCGCGAATCTCATGTATTGCCATTTGCAACTT